ACGACACGGCGGAGGCAGCGAGCACCAGCAGCACGGACGACGAGAACCAGCAGCACGAAGGACGAGCAGTAGCAGCACGACACGGCGGAGGCAGCAGGCACCAGCAGCACGGTGGATTGGGGGGGGGGGGCAACTGGACGGAGAAATTTTGAGAATGCAGACCCTTCATATCTGTTTAAATTCTGTTAGCATATTTGAAAGGACAGTACGATGGGCGATTATTACCTGCCCTTCTCTTGCCTGAGTGCCCTGAGGACGATTTGGGTGTTACATGTCTTTTTTGTGAGTGTTTGTAGGATTTCCTCGGTTTTCTGGATCCCTCAAGCGTGACGAATTTCGATACATCTTTTCGGGACTATTCGTACAGTTTACAAAGGTACAGGTCGGAAAGATTTGATGCAATAAGAAAGGAGAATAACGCGCTGATGTCCTCACAGTCGACAGGAAAGGAAGGAGAGAACAACGCAAACAGGAGATAAATATGCTACTTCGTGTCCACCTACGGAGATCGCATTATATACTCCGGGAAACCTATCAGTTCATTCGCGTGTGCCTACTATAAAGCATGTAGTGGTTGAGTTAATGTGGCATCGAATACTCGATTGATTGTTGCAGCGACTTGTTAATGGTTTTACAGCGTTTGGAAACCTTTGAGAACCACCACGTTGCCTTCATCGGTGAAGTGCGTGATATGGGGATGATCAAGCACAAGATGGGCCTTCAGTTCTGCTACAGAACAACACTAACCAACTTTTACCCGTGGCGACAAGCATCTATACTAGAAAGGAAGCGAGATGTCCGCCCGAAACACTCTCATTGATACGTCTCCAGCTGACTCTAGCTATGGTAGCATTGTTGATAGCCATCATACAGTTGCACATTGCTGTAAATAAAAGATAAGCATCCTAAATAATAATAATAATAAATTATATGTTTCGAATTTAACCAACCTGCGACTCTTGATCTATATTAAGTGTGCCATGCTCGAAATTTCAGAGCTTCTTCGTGCGAAGCACGACTCATTATACTAATTACTTTCATTTTACCTATATCTGTTATTGTGCCTTTCTGTCTTTTGCCGTGGCTACATCGGACTTTCGTCGGACTCTTTTCAAACGACAAATCGCACTGCTGCGAAATCTAAAATTTAACCCAAACCTACAGATGTGTCGTACATACAAGGCACGACTGGAGCCTTTCTACTGTGGCCCTGATCAACTTGTTTTTGTAGACGAGACCTCAAAGGATGGACGGTACGTTTCCTTTTAATTTTTTTATTTGCTGGTCCTAAAGTTGAGGTTACACAAAGTGTTATGGTGTGCTCTAGATCTGTTCTACGTCGTTTTGGTTCGTCCGTTCGAAACACGCCGGCAACAGTGTCTGTACCTTTCAATCGTGGCAAGCGTGTTTCCGTTCTTGCTGCAATGGATGTGAAAGGCTTTTTTGCGTGGGGAAATGTGGAGTGGAATTTCACAATTTTCAAGGAACAGATTTTTCCCTATCTCAACCCATGGCCACTACCGCGCTCTATAGTGGTCATGGATAACGCTAAAATTCATATGTACGAAGAGCTGCAAAATTTAGTGCACGCCGCAGTAGCTCTGCTATTTTTTCTGCCGCCGTACTCGCCGGACTTGAACCCAATAGAAGTGGGTTTCTCCCTACTCAAGCGCTGGATTCAACGCCATGCCAATATGGCTTTCCAAGAAGACCCACTAGCCGTTCTCAAGGTTGCGATGTACCAGTGTACACACCAAAAGGATTTGGTACTCATGACGTTCTTGTGGCACGCTTTCCTTTGCTCGCTTGGTAAGAACCTTTCTTGTCAGGCTCAGGTCGAACCTTAGGGCTCGGCAAATAGTAGAGTCCGACAAATTAGCTGTGTCTTTGAATCGCGCCTTGATATCGCTTCGTAGCTCCTCGAAATAGAAGCAAGGGTGCAAACTTACATATTCTCGAACGTAGTTACACACGACCGGAGGCCAACGCGACGAACGAGCGGCAGGTTCAGCCTCCATCACATTTCCAGTCGTCTTGAATAGCTGGTACCACCTGCTGAGACTACGAGTTGACACCCCCAACACGGTAGATACAGTAGTAATTTCAATTCCGTACACGTACATAAGAACTATTCCTCTCCATCGGAGATCAATGGAGTACATCCCTGAACAAAAGTACTACTAAACTCCGAATGGCGGAAAAAATGTCGCCATTCGGAGCTCAAACTCCTACGAAAGTCTCTCGAATGAGTGGTTTAGGCAAAACTTGTATGTTAGTAATACGGCTCAGCTATTGGCTGAATGGTAGGTCAGATTAAGCTAAACAAAGCATTAGTTTGATAAACTTAGATAAACTAACGTACCAGCCCTATACACTACAAAAAACATACTTTTTCAACTCCGATCAGCCAAACAAAAGAAAGCACAATACTACATATGACAAAAAGGGTGATTATGGGATTATCGTTTTAATATAGACCAATCAGCGCTCAACTAATCGGAGCCGCATACATGTGTGCAGACCTGAGAAAATAACTTTCTTAGCTTTACGAAGAGAATGAGCTTCTTGCTCGACGATATCGACCCAAGCGTTATGGAGGCGGCGCTGTCCCTCGTGGACGAGTTCGCAGGCGATGCGTTAAGCGCTCGAGACCAATTCACAGCGTCCACCAGGCAGACATCACAGGAAGACTGCGTTCAAGCCCAGTTGGCGCGGCGCAACCAAGTCAACGAGAGGAAGAAAATGTTACGTGCTGCGGGCGTCTACGGCAACTCGAACCACGTACGCAATAACCGCCGCATTGAAATCGCCTACCTTAAAGAGCAACTGGAAAAATTACAGATCGATCTGGAGATCCTCAAGAAGCAGAAGGGCGAGGACAAGACCAGAACGCGAACGAGAGCTGCTAGAGCAACGCCTTCGCCACGACAAGCCTCACCTCCTCAACAACCAACGGCTCCGGCCATAGTAGCGACGAACACCCCGACCATGACGACGGTGTGGGAGAACATAGCGGACAGCCAACGACGACGACGGAAGAAGGCCGAGTGTGAGAACATTCGCCTAAAGATGGTCATCGAGCACCAACAGAAGGTGGCCGACAATCTGCGCAACTTGATTCAAAAGCGCGCGAGTCAACTAGGAGCCGAGTGCTCTTTCTTCACAGATGTGAACTACACGAACCACCATGTACTGGACTTGCAAGGTGACGTGGGCGAGTTCCAGAGTTTGTTCCGCCACTTGGATAATGCGTATCAAGAGCTGGACGCCGTGTTTGCAGCAAACGGTCTGAACAACATGGTGGTGACTCGAAGTGATGTTCAAGTACGAGACTGCGCGGGCGGCAAGTACGTTGAGTTGTTATTCAACAAGGTGTTACCATTCAACCTGCAGGACGCGAGACAAGCTACATGGGAACATTTCCGCGGATCCGAGAAGCACATGGGCAATGGCAGTGTGTACGAGAAGACAGCAGAGGTGCGTGTGGCATCATTGACAGGCGTTTGCTGTTTTTAGGTTAACAGTGATGCTATGCTGTGTAGGATGTCAACGTGCCCTACACGATTCTCGAAGACTTCACGAAGGAGATGCACTCTAACAGTGCTCGGGCAGATGCAAGCATGAAACAAGTCGTTAGGCGTCATGTTGAACCCAACCGTGATGTTATTATCGCAGTCGTGAGTGTTAACCCGGCCGAATTGAAAAACAAAAGGCTTGGCGGATTAAAATACCAAGTTCGAAGCTACGCGGTGACCAAGTGGTCTGCTGCATCGACACCAGAGCGCGAGGTATCACAACTGCAGTGCTGTTCGCTCATTTCATTCGACGAGGAGACAGTGGCGAAACTCGGGTCTGATGCCATCCGAGCACTTACCAATTTCCTAATCGTCAGCTTAGCCGCAAAGATGCAAGGGCACCAAGATTGCATCGAGAACGCCCTCATGGATCATGCGCTCCTGACACAACAAGTGCCATAAATTGCGCAGGGATAAAAAAAAACTTTTTTGAAGAAAAAAAAGTATTTTGTAGCGTGTAAAATAATAAGTTTTGGTATACTATTGTTGATGTAGAAAGTGTCATGTGATGAGTCATCGGAAAGTTTTACCCGAGCAATGCCAACGCCACTGTTTCATCCGTGATGCAAAGAATGTCTGCTTTTGCATCACTAATGACATTGTTGATATTGACTCGGGCAAGGCTTGCCATCCAATATCAGTAGGTTTACCAGCACTAGCGGAGAGACAATACAAGATGGGTACTGACTGTTGTCTGGCCATAGGATAGTGCTGTCGATTTCGCAAACAGTTGGTACAGTATTTGCAACCATGACATTCTCTCTAGAGGACGAGGACGACCGAGCCTTCCAGGCGGCGCTGTCCTTCGCGGGAGAGTGCGTGCTCGATGGCGACGACTTGGAAGACGTTGCAGCGTCGAGGACTACCGCTTTGATGCAGCACGACGACGAATGGGCCGCGGAGTCCTGCGGTTTAAGGCCACGTTTTAACAACCCAGACATCGAGACTGTCTTCGGATCCTTCAATATGGCACCGACGGTAGCCGCTCATCCGACAAAGACTCCAGCTTCGAATCGGAGACGACGAATCGAGGTCAATGAGCGCAAAAAGCTGTTGCGCAAGGCTGGCATTTACGGAGACGACAACTGGATGAGTAAAGACAGTAGACTCGAGATCGCGTATCTCCGCGAGAGGATTGAGAAACTTAACCTCGACTTGCAAGTGCTGCAGACCCGAAAGGGCAGACAACGAACAATTCAAACGATAGCACAGAATGCTACAGATACGATGGACTTGGGATCGCAGATTCCGAAGGTGTGGGAGGAGATCGCTAGTCGACAGCAACGTCGACTGAAGGCAACAGAGCGCGAAAACACCCGCTTAAAACTCGCAGTACAGCACCAGCGAAATGTAGCAAACTGTATGACCAACCTGGTACAGAAGCGAGCTACTCATCTGGTACGTACCCCAACTCTCTAGAGCTAAACTTCTCTTGTACTAACTTGCTAGGGGTTATGTTGCAGACGAGTGACTGCTCTACCTTTATGGATTTTGCCTTCTCCAACCAGCACATTGTCTGTATGTTGAGTTCTCGTAGTGGTGGTGCAAGAGACTTCCCACTCTTGTTCCGTCATCTTGAAACCGCTCGCCAAGAAGTGGACGCTGTGTTTGCCTCTAATGGTCTGGCCAACATGGTGCTCACTCCCAGCGACGTTCATATTCGCGAAGGGGTCGATGGCAAATACCTCGAGGCCTTTTCAAATAAGGTGCTACCATTCGGGTTACGTGCTGCAACAGAGGCTACGTGGGACCATTTCAAGGGGTCCGAAAAACATCTTGGTAATGGCAATATCTACGAAAAGACAGCAAAGGTGCGTAGCTCGTGCTATTCTGTCGTAGTTTTGCTTTGCTCAACGATATTTTGTTGTCAACAGAGTCTCGATGACCCGTACACGATCGTCGAGGAGTTCACGAAGGAGATGCACTCGAAGCACGCTCGAGCAGATATCAGGGCGCAGCAGATTGTCCGCCGGTATGTGGAGCCTGACCGCGACATTGTGATCTGGGTCTCTATTGCCGAGCCTGCAGAGATTAAGCATAAAATATTGCGTGGACTCACTTACCATCTTCGGGGCTATGCAATGACCAAACGGTCTCCAGCTTCAACACCCGATAATGAGATTTCACAGCTGCAGTGTGTATCATTGATCTCTCTCAAGCCAGAAGCTGAGACGGTATATGGTTCCGAGACCGTGCGCGCAGTCACCAACTTCCTTATCGTTAATGCAGCTCAGAAGATGCAGGCTCACCAAGACCGCATCGAGAATGCCCTCGTTGACAAACAACTACAGCGTCGCGGTATTATCACGACGTAGACTCATGGACTTAACGTAATATAAGGCGTTTATTCGGCAGTGAAGATGCTGCACTCCGATACCAGTACAAAAAATTACAAGATACGACTGAAGCTACTTGGGACAACTTGAAAGGCGTGGAAAAGCATAAGGGCAGCAACTTGTACCAAGAGGCAGCAAAAGTGAGGAGCGTTTTGTCGGCAAGGTCTTAGTATGTTGGATTTCTAACATGTGGTTTCGATTGTCAGAACTTTGAAACGCCTTACACAATCATCGACGCTTTTCTAACGGAGTATTCTCCAGCAGTTCTCGCGCAAACGCAAAAGTGAAACAAGTGGCGCGACGTTATCTCAAGCCTGGCCGCGATATCGTGGTCTGGGTCCTCATTGCGCATCAGCTCAGGTTAAACACAAACGTCTTCATGGGCTAAGCTATAACTTCCGAGGATACTGCATTACGAGACAGTCACCATCATCAACTCCAGGGAACGAGCTGACGCTGTACTCACTGACCAAGACGAGAAGGCCAAGTACAGCACTGAATATGTTCAAACACTCACCAATCCTCTTCGTCCACGCAGCAAAGAACACCCTCACGCATTGTGAACACATTGACAACACACTCGGATTTCAACCTCTAAGAAGGATCGAGGCGAAATGCTAAACATGCAGGTTGTTCAGTTGGTGATGGTACTTGTATCAGTCCCGTGAGACGGTCCATTATTGTGCAAAATCGAAGAAAGACCCTAAACTAAACTTTAGACTAAACTCTTGCCATGCCCTTCCTTCTGGAGAGCGACGATCAGGCCTTAGAGGCGGCGTTGTCCTTCGTGGAAGAGTTCAATCGCAATGGTATAGGGGCCGACGGGCTTCTCACCGTGGATACGGGAACACTTGCGCGGCAGACCGTCCATTCGGCTCGAAGCCACGCGGCAGCTGATGAATCTTTGACCAAGAGAGCGAAGGTCAATGCGAAGAAGAAGCTGCTGCGCCAAGCTGGTATCTACAGTGACCCGAACAAAGCGCGCAACGAACGAACGCGAGAGATCGCATTTCTGCGAGAGCAGATTGAAAAGCTACAGATTGATCTACAGCTTCTGCAGAGCCGACAACCTAATGGTCCAACTAGAATGAACCAACCCAATGCAGTGGCTTTGTTCGCGACACACGCCAACTCGCAGATCTCGTGTATGTGGAAGGAGCAAGCAGTTAGACAGCATCGTCGTCGTGAACAAGCCGAGCGGGGTAATGTCCGTCTTAGACTCGCGGTCGAGCGCCAGCGGAAGGTGGCAAACAGCCTGAAAAGCTTGATGAAGAAGCGATCAACTCAATTGGTAATGCGTCCAGCCTTTGGTCGTATGGTGTTCATTATGTCTCTGATTTTAACTTGTGTTGATATGCAGACGAATGAATATGCGTCGCTGATGAACTTGTGCTCTCCGCAAAACAATATCGTCGACGTACGGGACTTCTGTGGCGATATTAGAGACTTTCGAGGGTTGTTTAAGCGTGTCGACGATGCCTACAGACACGTGGATGCAGTATTTCAGTCCAATGGTTTGGCTAGGTCGACAATTTCCCCGAATGACGTGCACATGCGCGAAGGCGTAGATGGCAAGTTTCTCGAGTTCTCCTCCTACAAGATTTTGCCCTACGAGATGCGGGCTGCTACTGAAGCTGTGTGGGAACATTTCAAAGGAGTTGAGAAGCATTTGGGCGTTGGTAGCATCTACAGCAAGGCAGCAAAGGTACGATCCGGATAGTTGAAAGCAAGCGTGTTACTCTAACGCATGATGTTGCGAGAGCAGAATCTCGATGAACCATACACGATCATCGAGGATTTTTCGATAGAAATCTACTCCAACAGTTCTCGTGCGGACTACAAGACGAAGCAAGTGGTTCGACGCTATGTGGAGGAAGACCGAGACATCGTCATCTGGGTTTCGCACGCCACACCCGTCGAAGTCAAGCACAAGTTGCTCAGTGGTTTATCCTACAACTTCCTCGGCTATGCCATTACAAAGCGAGCACCTTCTTCGACTGTGGAGCACGAGCTAATCCAGCTTCAATTGTGCTCGCGGATCTCTCTGGACCAAGATAATGCCAAGACGTACAATCCTGATAGTGCTCGAACGCTTGCCAACTTTCTCATCGTTCACGCGGCAAAAAACATAGTAGCTCATCGCGAAAGTATCGAGAACAATCTAGCCGACCGCGTACTCAGACGGCGGTTGCAGTGATAATTCTCAATCCGAAGCCTCTGTATCCACACATCCGTTTACCATTCGCTCGACTTGAGATGGGCAACTTGCACTTGTGCCCCGTTTATTTGATCATCAAACCCGCAGACCTCCAGCATGGCGATTCCTCGCGACGATGACACCTTCGAAGCGGCGCTATCTCTACTCGACGACTGTGTCTTCGGCGAAGCAGGTGATGACAGCCTTCCTAGCCTGTACGCTGACTCACCACCCACGCGAGAACGAGCCAAGTCCTCCAATACAGCAGACAAGCCGCGTCGACAAGCAGAATACAACGAGAAGAGGAGGCTGCTCCGTAAGGCGGGTGTGTATGGTGACCCAAATCGAGCGCGCAATGCTCGTAAGAAAGAAGCTGCTGACCTCCGCGAGCTAGTGGAGAGGCTTCACCTGGATCTGAAAGTCTTGCGCAGTCGACATATCTCTGTAACACATCAACAGAGTTCACGTGCGGTGGTCTCCACTCCAGGTATACCCAACAAGTGGCAGGAGATTGCACGTATACAACGTCGTCGCCGCAATGAGGCAGAACACTACAACATCCGCTTAAAACACGCGCTGGGTAGTCAGCAGGAGGTGGCGAACAAGTTGTTTGGGCTACTGCGCAAGCGAGCAACTCAACTGGCGAATGAATACTCGTCCCTGATGAACTTGGTTTGTGCCAAGAACTACATGGTCGATGTATTGGACTTCCGCGGTGACACTGGAACATTTCAGGAGCTGCTGTGTCGGCTGGACGTTGCGTACCGAGCTCTTGACACGGTCTTCACTGCAAATGGACTCAGTAACCTGACTGCCACTCCTTGTGATATTCATATTCGCGAAGGTGTCGAAGGCAAATATCTCGAGTTCTTCTCCTATAAAGTTTTGCCTTTCGATGTTCGCGAAACAACCGACGCTGCATGGAACCATTTCAAAGGCGTCGAGAAACACCTAGGCAACGGCAGTATATACAAGAAAGCGGAAAAGGTAACAATAGGATAACTAGTGTCGTCGTGGGGTCTAATTTGTATTGATGCGATTGGAACAGGATCTTGACGAGCCATACACCATTGTAGCAGACTTCACGAAGGAAGTCTACTCCAACGATGCTCGAGCTGACATCAAGGTGAAGCAAATTGTACGCCGTTTTGTTGAACCCGGCCGCGATATCGTGCTTTGGGTCGCTCGTGCAAAGCCAGCTGAGATCAAGCACAAAATGCTGCGTGGTTTGACGTACCGCTCGCGAGGGTACGCAGTAACACAGCGATTCCCAGATTCGCCACCTGACCGAGACTTATCAGTGCTCAAGCAGTGTTCTCGGATTTCGCTCGACCACGAAGTTGATACGAGATACAGTCCCGAAGACGTTCGTACGCTCACAACCTTTCTCATTGCGAACGCGGCGCAAAACATGCGGGTTCACCGCCAGCTCATCGAGAACGCGCTGATCGAACGAGGCCGAACAAACTGGTCGTTGTGACGAAAGGTAATTAGGCTGAAGGGCACCATACATGACTTTACGCTCTGTACGTTCTCAAGAAAGTCCAGACTTCAGAACATCCTGGTTCAGCACAACCTCCCTAGTAGAAAATAATACCTCTACCTGCATACAGGTACTCGTAGTAAGCCATTGGATCTGATTGCTTTTATTCATTAAATCAGCGGACACACATTGATCCAGTGATTTGCGTAATGCAAACTCATCGTTATCCCTTGGCTGCGAAAAACATGCCATTCTTCTTAGTTCGTCATTTCACCCAAACGCGACTGGTACCAAGAGAAGGTAATGGTACTTCACCAAGATTATGATGACGAACCACAAGCGTTCAAGGCAACGCTTTCCTTTGTTGAGGCATTCCGACTTGGAGAGACAGAAGATGAAGCTGAAGAGCAATCGTTGCTTGATGACCAACACAAGTTGGAAGCGAAGCCATTGTGCACTGAAATCACGCCCAATAAGACGCAAACTCGAGGTCGCTCTGAGCGATAAACGCGAAGATTGTTGCGTCAACTCGACATCTATGGTGACTCGAACAGAGCACGAAACGAATGCACACGCGAAATCGCCTACCTGCGTGATCAAGTTACGGAGCTTCAGGTGGACCTGCAGGTTTTGTGATTAGTCGATGCTGCCCGAACAAACAGCAAGGGGTGGATAATGCCCCGTCGAAAATAAAAAAAAGCGCGTGGCAGCAGGAAGCGTTACAACAACGGCGTCGTCTTGAGAGGGCAGAGTGTGAGAGCATTTACTTGAAATTGGCCGTTGAACGGCAGCGGAAGGTGGCGATCCGCCTAAGCAATTTGATGAAGAAGCGAACAGCTCAACTGGTACAGAATGTGTGCTTAATGCGATAGCTTTTAGAGCTAACGCTTTGCATGATTCTATTGATATTTCCGTAGGCAAACGAGTGCGTATCACTGATGACTATGAAGCGTGACGCTTGGAATGACGGTGATAGCACCACTAACACACTGTAGACTGCAGGTTTGAGCTATCGAACGGTGGCTCAATGTCATGTTAAGGCTGGAACGACTGTAGGAAAGATACTAAACAGCGGAACGCTGACAAAGTAACATTGTTGCCGTGACACCAAGCCTGAATATTTAGCCCTGGAAACCACTACATTTTTTAAAAGCTTTTACGTCACACACCACTGAGTACCTATGCATCCCAAGCATTTTCGACAGTAGTGTTCCTGCTTGAGTCACCATTCTTGATGATCATCCGGGATGAGACATCGTGTGCAAAGTCGAGTCTGCCAGCAGGTCCGCTCATTTGCTCGTTCATCTGTTGTAGCGCAATACTCAAGTCCGGTGCCAAGCATGGCGTTTCTTTTAGAAGACGACGATGGCCAGACGTTCGAGGCGGCACTGTCCTTCATCGACGACTTCGAGCGGCAGGATGATACTCCTCTCGATGCGCCATCGAAGTCTTACAACGTCCAGCCCACTCGGCCCCAAAAACGAGTACTTTCGAGTGAGGAGAAGATGAGACGACGAGCCGAGATAAACGAAAGAAAGCGGTTGCTTCGAAAAGCTGGAGTATATGGAGATCCGAATCGCGCCCGCAGCGCTCGAACGATGGAGATTACGTTCCTCCGAGAGCAGTTTCAGAAGCTCCAACTCGACCTGCAGACGCTGCGGCATCAGAGACGCCAGGCAGCAGGAAATCAAAGGCGCGAAACACACCAATCGATAGTGCCGCTGATTCCAAGTATGTGGCAGAAACTAGCGAACCGACAACGACAGCGGCTAGAAGAAGCCGAGGAAAATAATGTCCGTCTGAAGGTGGCACTGGAACACCACCAGACATTGGCCAACGCCCTGTGTAGCTTGCTGAAGTCACGAGCGAACCAATTGGTAAAGCCGGAATTCTGGCTAGCTGGTTTGTGGAAATTGACCCCGCTAATATGTTGTACTGCGTTGACCCAGGCGAATGACTATTCATCCTTCGCAGACATGCGCTTTGTTAAACACCACGTCGTCCAAGCTCTGGAGTTTAGCAAAGATAATAGCGAATTCCACCCACTGCTTCACCAGCTCGATACTGCCTATCAGGTCATGGACAGCATATTCGCGTCGAATGGGTTGTCACACATGGACGCAACTTCAGGCGAAGTTCACATCCGCGAATGGATCAAAGGCAATCATCGATATTTGGAGTTCTTCAGCAACAATATTTTGCCATTTGAGTCGAACGCAGCGAAAGAAGCTACTTGGGCTTATTTCAAGGGAATCGAGAAGCACCTCGGTTACGGAAATCTGTACGACAAAGCAGCCAAGGTATGTTTCGGTGAGGGAAATTTGTTTTCGAGCGACATGAGGTGTAAGCTCACCCTGTTTCGCTGTGTAATGCTTGGTGAGAGCAGGGTCTTGATGATTCCTTTACTGTCGTGGAAGACTTGACCAAGGAGCTGTATTCTGGAAGTGCTAGAGCAGATATTCGAATCAAACAAGTCATTCGGCGCTATGTGGAAGACGAGCGAGATGCTGTGATACGGGTTTATCGCGCGGTGCCTGTTGAAATCAAGCACAAGCGGCTCAGTAGACTGACATATCACTTACAAGGTTACGCTGTTACCAAGCGAGCACTCTTTTCGACCCCGGAACGCGAGCTCTCAATTTTACAGCTGTGTACACTCGTCTCTTTTGATCAAGATGAAGTCGAGGCGGTGAGCGACCCCTTTAGTGTTCGCGCATTCACGGATTTTCTAGTCACACATACTGCGCAGAACACTCGGTCTCACTGCGAAATCATCGAAAATGCGTTAGCTGATCGGGCTCTAGCGAACTATTTGCAATAAGCGAACCTGCAAATTTACCCACTAAATCAACTTTTGATATTCAGCACTATCTCAAGAGTAATGATTTCAAAAAAGTATTGAGATTCTCAATACTTTTTTTTATCATTACTTTTAGAAGTGTCTAAAAGTCAGAAATATATATTTTTTGAAAAATTCGCAATTATAATACATTACTTCAAAAAAATATATAATATAGTAATGTCAGACGAACCCTGACTACTTTTTAGTGTTACTTCCAGCAAAAAAAGTACTATCATACTTCAACTTGAAGCAAAAAAAAGTACTTTGTATCGAAATAGTGCAATTGGTTTGACGGACTTTTTCGATACACAGTACTTTTCTGTAACTTCAGCTTGTTTCTCAATTATTGATGCAGTAATCAACATTATTTCCTATTTAACAATCCCTTCATTTTTCGTTATGAGCTTCCTACTCGACGACGAAGATGCTACCTTTAAGGCCGCGTTGTCCTTCGTGGACGACTTCATGTTCGACGAAGATAATACTGTAGACTTGCTGGATAATAAGCAACTCCGGGAGGATGGCGAGGCAACGCATCAGTGCTCCGAGTTCGTGCTGGACGCGGATGAACGCAAGCGGAGGCGTCGAGTGCAGCTGAACAGGAGGAAGAGATTGTTGCGTAAAGCGGGCATTTACGCCGATCCGAATCGAGCGCGCAACGAGCGCAAGCAGGAAATGATTCGCTTGCGTACTCAGCTCGAGAGGCTTCAATTGGATGCTCAGGTGTTACGAAGCCGAGAAACTAAAAGACCACAGAATGCTACAACTTCACAAAACTTGGCGAGCTTGTCGTCGAAGATTCCTGCTGTGTGGCAGGAGCTAGCCACACGGCAGAGGCGCCGTCGCGAAAAGGCAGAGCGAGAGAATATCCGCTTGAAACTTGCTGTGGAACGTCAACAACAACTAGCGCTAAGCCTTGGCGAATTGGTGCAACGACGAGCACTAAAAGTGGTAAACTTTGGTTTTGTTGTTATTGGTTGGTGGTATTCGATCGCTAACTCTTGCTTTGTGTGGTTACAGACGCAGGAATGCGCAGTTTTGACGAAACAGTCATACTTAACGCATCATGTCGTGAACGTACTGAATATTGATGGCGACATGGAAGATTTCCGCGTCCTCTTCCGACATCTTGAGATTGCATATCGGGGTTTGGACGCGGTTTTTGCCACCAACGGACTTGCAAATTTGGAGATTTCTCCTGGTGACGTGCACTTGCGGGAAGGCTTTGGTGGGAGGTTGCTAGAGTGCTTTAGTCACAAGACGCTGCCATTCGAGTGGCGTGCAACAACTGAGGCGACATGGGAGCACTTTAAAGGCATTGAGAAGCATTTCGGGAATGGGAGTCTCTACACAAAGGCAGCGAAGGTGAATTTAAATCCTTTACACCGATTCAACCGTACACTGTAGATTTGCTAAGTTTCGGGTAAATTGTTGAACAGGACCTGGACGAGCCATACCGGTACACGATCGTCGAGAACTTCACGAAGGAGTTGCATTCCAACAATTCTCGTGCTGATATCACGGTAAAGCAAGTGGTGCGGCGCTATGTGGAACGAGACCGCAATATCATTATCTGGGTATCGTTCGTAGCACCTGCACAGATCAAACACAAGATGCTTCGCGGGTTAGCCTATAATCTACGAGGCTACGCAGTCACCAAGCGCTCGCCCCAGGTGAGACCCGGGCAGGAGCTGTCGGTGCTTCAGCAGTGCTCGCTTATTTCTCTTAACCAAGATGTCGACGCGAGGTGCCAACCGAGTAATCTCCAAAAGCTCGCCAACTTCCTGATAGTGAACACAGCTCAGAACATTCGAGCGCATCGCGAGCGCATCGAAAATGCGTTGGTCGATCAAGCCGTAGCCCGTCGAATGGAATAAATAAATAGGCCTGCCTCAAAGTTTAGCGCTGCCCGGCTCAAAAAATTTAGCGTCACATACTAAAGTTTAGTTTTCGTATTTTTACTTATCCAAGGAACGCATGGCATTCCTTCAGGACGACGACGACGCCTTCGAGGCTGCGTTATCGTTCCTAGACGATTTTGTACCCAGCACAGGGGTAGCTGAAGATACGCTATACACTTCTAGCCATGAAGACGCATCACTCCAGATACTTCATGACGTTCAGAATTTATCCAAATGCAACCAGCATGCGCCGCCAGGGAGGCAGCAATTAACTGAAGAACAAAAGAAGAAGCGGAGAGCGGAATTCAACGAGAGGAGGAGGCTGCTACGCAAAGCTGGTATTTATGGCAATGCGAACAGGGCACGCAACGAGCGGGCGAGGGAGATTGCGTATCTTCGGGAGCAAATGGAGAGGCTACTGATCGACCTGCAGATTCGACAGACTCGACACACTGGCAAGCCGTGCAATGAGGCGAGAGCAAGCGAGTTGGACAAGAGCTCGGAGTCGCAGATAGCAATCCTGTGGCAGGAGCTGGCAGCTCAGCAGCGACGTCGCCGTGAAGAGGCAGAGCGAGACAATGTGCTGCTGAGACTCGCTATTGAACGCCAGCGGAAGGTGGCGAATACACTTCAAAGCCAAATGAAGAGGAGAGCTACGCAGTTGGTAAGGCAATTACTGTCACGTGGTGGGATATAACGATACCACTAACGCATTTGTACTCGATATTGTGCTGCAGACAAACGAATGCGCATCTCTGATTACAGCTGCGCGCTCTAGGCAGCACAAATTCAACGTATTAGACTTTCGCGGGGACATGGAGAGCTTCAGAGGGCTCTTTCGACGTCTTGATGACGCGTACCACACGATCGACGCAGTGTTCATGGAGAATGGCTTGGCAGGCATGACCGTTCCTCCTGTTGATGTTCACGTATACGAACGCAGCGATGGTAAATCTGTTGAGTTTGTGAGCTACAAAGTGTTGCCGTTCGAAGTTTGTTCGACTGCAGAGGCGACATGGAAACACTTTAAAGGTATTGAGAAGCATCTAGCCAACGGAAGTCTCTACGAGAAGGCAGAGAAGGTGAGTGTCACTCATTTTACGGCAAGTGTAAGCTTGCTAACTTATTGCTTGCTTACAGGGTCTTGACGAGCCTTATACAATCATCGCCGACTTCAAGAAAGAAGTCGTTGCCAACAGTTCTCGGGCGGACATCAAAGTCAAGCAAGTCATCCGACGCTATGTCGAAGAAGACCGAGATATTGTGTTGTGGGTCTCCCGCGCCGTTCCGATCGAGATCAAACACAAAATTCTTCGTGGATTGACATATCATTTGCAAGGTTACGCTGTCACCAAGCGCTCGTCCGAGTCAACACCAGACCGAGAGGCGTCGGTACTCCAGTTCTGTTACGTAGTTTCTCTCGATCACCAAGCTGATCTGAGGACCAACCTCGCCGTCCTTATCAACTTCCTTGTCACAACCACAGCCCAAAACATCCGAGCACACCGGGAACTGATCGAGAATGCTTTGATCGACCGATCCCTACACATGTCCGCAATAAGCCAATAACCAGTTAGAATTCAGTCTTTATCACAACAATTGTAATCATGGCCTTCCTCCAGGAAGACGACGACGCGTTCGTGGCCGCGCTCTCCTTCCTGGACGAGTTCGCACCCGGTGTGACACCCCTTGAGGGCGCGGCTACCACGCGGATTAGTTCCTTATGCGGGCCTAATGAGTCGCTGGAGGACTCGACGGATTCTGCCGCTAGTTACACGACGAAGCCCAAGCCCAAGCGGACACGCCGTGTAGCGAAAACACAGGAGACGGAGGAAGAGAAGAAGCGACACAAGGCGGCGCTCAATGAGAAGAGGAAGTTGCTGCGTAAGGCTGGTGTCTATGGCGACGCCAACCGCGCGCGTAATGAGCGCTCGAGGGAGATCGCTTACTTACGGGATCAAATGGAGAAGCTGCAGCTTGATCTACGCTTGTTGCAGACTCAACGAGCTAAGGAGAAGAGCGAGAAGAAAGTGGAGAAGGAGACTGCGTTGGTGCGAAAGAAATCGACGCAGATTACTACGATGTGGCAGGGACTAGCAGAGCAACAGAAACGGCGTCGGGAGGAGGCCGAACGAGATAACGTGCTGTTAAAACTGGCCATTGAACGGCAGAAGAAGGTGGCGGACAATCTACGCGGTTTGATGCAAAGGAGAGCGACTCAACTGGTGAGCGACTAGCCTGTTGTTGTGGTGTTATGGTTCCACTGATATATCTTGTGTTTTATGACGTTGTAGACGAACGAGTGCTCCTCACTGATGACGCTTGCTCGCTCAAAACATCATCTTATTAACGTGCTGCCACTGCGGTGCGATCTTGGGGATTTTGAAGGGCTCTTCCAACAACTGGAGAATTCCTATCGAATGTTGGACGACGTCTTTATGGCGAATGGCTTAACTGGAATGACAACTTCCCCTATCGACGTCCACGTGCGTGAAGGCGTGTATGGCAACTACTTTGAGTTGTCGAGCTATAAAGTTCTACCGTTTGATGTGCGGACAACAGCAGAAGCCGCGTGGAACCACTTTAAAGGTGTCGAGAAGCATCTTGGCAACGGCAGTCTGTACGAGAAAGCGGAAAAGGTAGGCGCTTCCCATAGCTGGATAGAGTTTGAGTCGCCGCATTACACTCATGCTTCTTCGTTTACACTGCAGGGCCTGGACGATCCGTACACGCTCATTGCAGACTTGAAGAAGGAGATTTTCTCCAATAGCTCGCGAGCTGACATCCGCGTCAAGCAGGCCCTCCGCCGCTACATCGAAGAAGACCGCGATGTTATCGCCTGGACTTCGCGTGTAGTTCCCATCGAGATTAAGCACAAGTTGCTCCGTGGACTGACGTACAACTTGCGAGGCTACGCAATTACCAAGCGCTCTCCAGACTCCACCCCAGAGCGAGAGCTCTCGGTACTACAGATCTGCTACTTGGTTTCTCTTAACCAGGATATCGAGACTACGTATGGCCACGACGACGCCCGAACCATTACAGACTTTATGGTTGTCAGTCTTGGGCAGAATTTGCGAGGTCATCGAGAGTTCATCGAGAACGCTCTCGTTGACACCACTCTGAGAGCAGGCTAGGATTGTAATAAACCGAAGTACTTCGTAATAAAGGAAGCGAATAGAATTCGCAATAAAACATAGTCAGTGATCAGTCACTAGTGATACCCTGTTGCAGCATGAAATATTCCTGTTCGGGAGTGGAGCGTGATGAACGCTTGATCACCACTTGGCCACGGAGGTTGTATGTCAGTCCACGCAGAAGTTTATGCTTGATTTCCGTCGGTGTGAGGCGGGCAACCCAAATGATAATGTCGCGGTCGATTCGACGTAGCGTCGGACAACTTGCTTGACGTGGACGTCGGCCCGAGCAGTGTTCGAGTACAGCTCCTTGGTGAAGTTCTCCATGATCGTGTACGGCTGGTCGAGGTCCCACGAAGCACACAATATTAAAATACACGTGTATATCAGAGACCTAGGACCCTAGCTATACCTTTGCTGTCTTCTGGTACAACCCGCCATTGCCCATGATGTGTTTCTCCATTCCTTTCCAGTGGTCCCATGAGACTCTCTCGCACACTGAACGGTAGCTCTTTGTATGTGAAGAATTCCATGTACTTGCCGCCGATGTCTTCGCGTATATGAACGTCGATCGGTGAGATCGTCATGGTAGCCAGACCGTTGTTTATTAGCATCGTGTCTAATTCCAATGTGGCAGCGTCAAGATGTCGGGAAAGTGCGTGAAAGTCACCAATATTCCCACGAAAATCTAGGGCTCGATCGACGTAATGTCCTGAGTTTGCTGCATCCGTGAAAGCAGAATATTCTTTCGCCAATGGAAGCAAGAGGAATCCGTAATTCTAAGTAAACCATTTGGCGGCAGCACAGAGCACCAAAAGAGGTTTGCACGATACCAAATGAGTTGATCGCTTCCGTAGTAAGCTGCAAAGGTTGTCCGCCACTTTTTGCTGCTGCTCCACCACCAGTTTCAAGTGAATATTCTCGTGCTCCGCCTCCTGTCGTCGTCGTCGCTGATGCACCGCCATCTCTTGCCACACTTTTGGTATCAACGCCATAACACAGCCACTCTCTTCAGTATCCGCTGTTTTTTCATGCGAGCGTTCGGCCGCTCTGCTCTGTAAGGCCCTCAAGTCGAGCTGCAACTTCTGTAGCTGCTCCCGGAGGAATGCTATTTCTTTCTTTCGCTCATTACGTGACCGGTTCGGGTCGCCGTATACGCCAGTCTTGCGCAGAATTTCCCTCTCCTCGTTCAACGCCTTCTTGCGTCTCAACTTGCCATCACTAGACCATGACTCCGTTGGCGCTTTGGATGGCATAGTACAAGTCTTTGGCACGGGGTTGGCGAAAGAGCCAAAGCTTTTGCCCTTCGTCTGTGCTGCTTCGTGGTGGCCGCCAGGAGTACCAAAGTCTTCGGCCTTTGCCTCCTCAAATTCATATTCGTCCAGGAAGGTCAGCGCGGCTTCGAACGCATCGTCGTCGTCCAGCAATGCCATATTCACTTGCTCTCTCATCTATCTCGACCAAGAAGCTCGACTACGATACGACCCGTCAAGCCTGCAAGCACTCACAAACTTCCTGGCTATCCACGCAGCTCAAAACCAACGCGCGCATCGCGAACTCATCGAAAACACACTGCTTGATCGCTCAATAGCCCTGAGCCAAACCATAAAGTATTTTCACGTTTGATTTTTAATTTTGATCTGTTTTAGGAGGGAAAAGCACTGAAATTTTGATTCTGCAATATGTTCCGGTGATGTCCATAATCATTTTTTAACTTCCGCACCGTCATGGCCTTCCTGGAGGATGACGACGCCGTGCGCGCTTTCGAGGCGGCGCTATCGTTCGTGGAGCAGTACTCGATTGATACTTCAGTGTTTACAGCGTCCCCCTCCACAGCTGGTGCATCTAACACGGCCCTCGACGACATCGACCTCCTATCACCCAGCCTCACACCTCTTACGTCTGCTTTACCGACCAATTATGCGTCTCCTGGGGCTGGTAGCGACACGTCGATGACGTCTCCTTCTTCTTCCGCGTTTAAAATATCGAAAGAGCCTCCTGCAAAGCTTGAACTCGGTCTGCCGGCTGCAGGAACAGTCTCCACCAAAAGGAAGGGAGTTGGGAGAGGCAGAAAGAAGTCGACGGGTGGCCCCAAGAAGCCCGTGACGAGAGGTGACCCCAACCGGGCCAGAAATGAACGCAAGATTGAGTTGGCTTATCTTCGAGAAAAGGTGTCGCAGTTGGAACTGGAGCTGCGAGCGCTTAAACTCCATCCGAGGACGCAGGCGAGAGCCATCCGCCACGATGGCGACAAGAAGCTGACAGAGCCAATGAAGAAAGACACAGAATTAGATTCGGCTATGTCGGTATACGATCCAGTGCAGGTGCCGACGGTGTGGAAAGAGGTGGCGTGCCGCCAACGCAGGAGGAGAGAGAAGGCCGAGCGCGAGAACGTTCGTTTAAAGCTCATTTTGGAGAACCAGATCCGGATGGCTAGAGGTCTGGAGAGTTTGCTACAGAAGAGAGCAAAGCAGCAAGTGGTCGAGTGTTCCAGCTTGTCACAGACCAAAAAGTCCAAGTATTCTCAGGGACGGACGCTGGATTTCAGGGCGGACGTGAACGATTTTAAGGACTTGTTGGCGCATCTGGACAGAGCGTATCGTGAGGTGGACGTAGTGTTCGCTGCGAATGGTTTGGCCACTATGGAGACAACGCATCGTGATGCCAGGATGCGTGAGGGAGCCGACTGCATGTATCTTGACATTTTCGCTAACAAAGTCATGCCGTTTGGGATGCGTGCAACTGCACAAGCGGTGTGGGACCACTTTAAAGGAGCAGAGAAACATCGTGGCAACATGTACGAAGGAAAAGTGGCAAAGGTGAGAGCTACGGTGTTGCTAGTAGCTTTTAAGTTCTAACTGACGTTCGTTTATGACTATGCAAAGCACTTGGCGACGCCGGATACGCCCGATACAATCATTGAGGACTTTGCCAAGGAATTCTTTGCTGACAGTGCACGTGCCGATTTCCATGCGAAGCAAGTACTCCGTCGATATGTAGAGCAAGACCGGGAAATAGTGATCTGGGTAGCAAGTGTCGTCCCTCTTGAGTTCGACGACCAGCGCGTCAAGGGTCTTGGCTTCCGTCATCAAGGATATGCTGTCACCAAGCGAGCAAAGGCATCCAAACCAAACCGAGAGTTTTCACTTCTGCAGCTGTGCTCACTAGTGTCACCAGAGAAGGAGGACCACACAGTATACGACCCTGCAGCCGTACGTGCACTGACAGATTTCATGTTGGGGACCGTGGCAGGCAACATCACGGCGAGTCAGGAGCTTATCGAGAACGTTTTGATGGACCAAGCGGTAAAGCCCTAGAACCCACAGGGCATACACTTTGCCCTACAGCTCCGCGTCAGGCACGCGGCGATATCTATGTTGCACGTATACTAATCTCACATGGCAAGTCTTGCGCGTTTTAACTTGTGAGCGTTTGCTCCATCTCTTGTTTTTGTATGAATAACAGCCCAACGCAAATGATCAACATTCTTTTCGACATAAAGGTTCGTAATGTGTTAGAATTTGCCAGCATTAATGATCGATTTATGCGTGGAGTTCTACAACAGCTAGCCTACAAGCAAGATCAAATCTGTCACCCACCAGGTCGTTTAAGTATGTGAAGCGTACAAGATGCAGTATAGTATCATGAGTTGTGCAAGCGTGAACTTTTTGCACAACTCATGATACTATACTGCATCTTGGTATGTTCTCGCAACACTGGAGGTTATTCTCCTCACCCCAATCGGTAACCACGACGCCAGCAAATTGTAATTTTGAGTATATCAGGAAATGGCTGCACTGTGCAGCAGCCAACATGTTTTTATTGAAAAGTACCCTTAGTTTAGGTTCGCTTCTTCATTCGAAGTGGAGTACCGGTGTGACCGCTTACAGCAGTCCGCTGCCGACGCTAACCGTGCCCGCACCGCTGCTGGTGTCGACACTGAACTCGGCGCAAAGCGGATGCGTGATGTTGTTGTACACGTTGCACCAGGTCTCGGGTTTGATGGCCACCACGTAGTCGCTATCTTCGAACACACGCTTCAGGCCCTTGCCGATCTGCGGGTCGTACACGCTCAAGTCGTCTGTGGTCAACGTGAACGAGACGTCCATGGACTCACCAGCCTGCAGCTCAATCTTTTTAAACTTCTTCAGTTGCTTCACCTCCGGCACCGAGATGAGGCGGTATGGTTGGATCAGGAACAACATGACCGTCTCCTTGCCGGCACGGGCGCCCACATTCGTGACGGTCACCGTAGCGGTGACTGTTTCCGACGCACTGCTAAGCAGAGCCGTGTCCAACGTCACAGCGGAGTAGTTGAACTGCGTGTAGCTGAGACCCGAGCCGAAATCCCATTGCTGCCAGCAGTTATCCCAGGCGCAACGCGTAGTGACCAGGTGGTTGTATGGAATGGCGATGTTGGCCGGGTCTTTCGGGTAGGTAATCGGCAGTCTGCCACTGGGGTTGACTTCTCCGTAAATAATCTCAGCCATTGCCTGGCCACCGAGCTCACACGGTAGAAGACCATCAATAATGGCCATCGAGTGGTCCGGAATCGAGCCAAGCAGACGTGGGCGGCCTTCAAACAGAACAACGATCATCTTGGTGTCGGTCGCACGGAGAGCCTCAATGTACTTTATCTGACCCTCGGGCAGTTCCAGGTTGTCAAGGTCACCGGGCTTCTCCGTGTAGTTGGGTTCGCCGATAACAACCACGGTGTATTCGTGCTGCCTAGCGTAACTTTCAGCAATAGCCAGGTCCTCGTCCGAGATCGATCCGTTCGCTAGTAGTCCGTTGAAGTAGGTGAACGAGTCGTTGCCAACCAAGTTCTCAAAACCCTGGCGAACGCTGACTCCGTTGGGGAACATCTCATTGCCAGAGTATCCCTGCCAAGCCTTGCTCCATCCACCGCACTGGTAACCAACGTTGTTCGCCGAGTGGCCTGTGAGGAACACAGAAGCGTCCTTCGGTAGTGGAAGGACATCCTCGGCATTCTTAAGAAGTACGATAGATTCACGAGCCATGGTCAGCGCAGCAGTCTTGTCTTCTTCGCTACCCACCATTGAGACGAAGTTCTCACCGGGAACGGGGTTGTCGTAGAGTCCAAGCTTCAACTTCGTCTTGATGATGCGCTTCACAGACTGACGAAGACGAGCTTCATTTTCCGGGTGCTTCTCCAACATATTCTGCGTGTAGTCGATGAACTTAGTGTCGTTAGGCACCATGCTCATGTCGAGCGACGTCTGCTTCAGAGATAATGCCACAGCGTCTTCATAGGTGTTAACCACGCGATGCCAGTCTTTCAGGTTGTTGATCTCAGCCCAGTCGGAAACCAGAAGACCATCAAAACCCAGATCTGAACGCAGAAGGTCGTTCAGGATACGGGGATTGGCGATCACAGGCTCACCGTTGATCGAGATGTAGTTCTCCATCGTCGACAAGGCACCGGCTTCGATCGCAGCCTTGAAAGGAGGCAGGAAGTAGTTGAGCAGGTCAAAGTCATCCATGATAACGTTGTCACGGTCGTGGCCCGTAGGGGTCTTGGAATACCCGATGAAGTGTTTCATACAGGCGGCGGATTGGTTATAGCTCTGGAGACCACGAACGATAGCATCTCCCATCACGGAAGCCAAGTACGGATCCTCACCAAACGTCTCGTAGGTGCGAGACCACAGCGGATTCTGTGAGATCTCGAGAATTGGACCAAAAATCCAGGGGATTCCGGCGGCTTGGGTGTCTCGAGCAGTGATACGACCAGCCTCGTAGACCAGATCGGGATTGAAACTCGCACCCCCATTAATCTGGTGGGGAAAAATGACGGCTCCTTCAACGTAGTTGGCACCGTGCACCGAGTCGAGACCGTAAATGATGGGGTGGCCTCCGTTCTCCTCCATACTGATTTCTTGGATCCGTTTGACGACGGCACGGAACTCGGACGCAGTCCAGCCGTATTTCTTCCCTTTGGGTTCGTCCCAAATGGTGTTGAGGTACGACCCAACATACTGCTGGGCGTACAGGCGCACCCAGTCCTCGTTAAGAGTGTTGTCCTTGGGATTTATCACTAAGCTGATGTCGATCTGCGTCATTTGGCCGATCACTTCCGCCATGGAGAATCCGTCGACGATCGATTGGGCCTTGGCATCGAGGACCATGTCCTCAGCAGCAGCCGTAGCTGTAGTTGTAGCTGACACTGTAACGGGTAGCGACAGAATTGCCGTCACCGCTGCCGAATAGGCTGCGGCCAAAAAGAGCTTCACCATTACACCGTGCTACGTTGACGAGGTCGAGACTGTCCACTTGGAATGTATCGATACTGCGTGGCGCAGTGAGGAAGTTGAGGAGTGAGGGCAGACTGCGGAGTCCGAAGCGGACAGCCTTACCGAGCAACGTCAATCGCAGGAACCGTGCGCTTGATCTGTGTGTGTCCCATCCAATGGCCACGCCATGCTGATGAAGACTAGTACGCCAAAATACAAGCCATCTCTACCGAGTCGTGCAATCGAAGAGGCTCAACACACGCCTGCTGTCCATGAAAAGTCCCCGTCCCCGTGGCTCTATCTAAAGAGCTGTAATGCTCTAACACCGGCTGTACCGTCATACCAGCTCGTCCAGCAAATTATAATTTTTCAATAATTTATGAAAGGACACTTTTCAGGGCCACAGAAATACAAATCGTTGATTGAAGCGTCGAACCCAGTGGAGACGTTATCCCCATGCATTGCATTGAATTGTTGCCTTGAACACTACAGTGCGCTGCTGGAAGTTCCTACCTGGTTAGCTTTCGTGTCCACAATATTTAAGACGACACCAAGTTCGTCGAGACGACGACGTGAGGCATGACAGCAGATTCGCTTCAGTCAATGCAGCTGCGTCTTGAATTATGAAGCATAATGCCAGACCGGTAGTGATTACCACAAATGTCGGATCACCGGCTTTATGTGGCTTACGAACGACCGTATTATTCATAGCCTCTGTCAATTAGCGTTGCTTGTACTATCCGACATCAAAGTTGGGCACTTGGCTTCTGCTGGGACCATATAGTTGATGAGTGCTGTCGCAATATCGACGCTTTCCCACTGTATATGACGAATGCAAATGCAGAACGTTGCTTGGCATGACAAATGAGGCTTGTCTTGTTTTAGGTTTTACTCGTGCTAGCAGTCGAGTGCTAGTTTGAAAACACATGGAAATCTAACCATCAGATTCTAAAGCGGCTTTAGTAGTTGCCCGCCTCGACAGTTCCAGCTCCAGCTTCATCAGCGGGTGGTTCAGTAGTGCCGGGGATCGCGACGGTGCCTTGAAGGACAGGAGCATCCGTGCCAGTGACGTTCGCGACCGGAGGGGGGAGACCGAAGTTGTCACGTCCAGTGTCAATCTTGAACACGGCGCAGAGTGGGTTCGTAATGTTCTTGTAGACGTTGCACCAGGTATCAGGCTTGATGGCCACCACGTAGTTGCTGTCCTCCGTGACCTTCTTGAAGCCGTTGCCGATCTGCGGATCGTATACGCTCCAGTCATCCGCCGTTAGGGTAAACGACACGTCCTGGGACTCACCGGGTTGAAGCTCAATCTTCTTAAACTTCTTCAGCATTTTCACCTCAGGAACAGAGATTGTGCGGTACGGCTGGGTTAGGAACAGCATGACGGTCTCCTTACCGGCACGGGTTCCCACATTCGTGACCGTCACCGTAGCAGTGACAGTAAAAGCATCCGCATTCGTGATCGTCGTCGAATCAAGAGACACCGCTGAATAGTTAAATTCAGTGTAGCTGAGACCTGCACCGAAGTCCCATTGCATCCAGCAGTGGTCGTAAGCGCACTGAGTGTTAACACGGTGGTAGTACGGAATCGCAACGTTCGCCGGGTCCTTCGGGTAAGAAATCGGAAGTCTTCCGCTGGGGTTCACGTCACCGTAGATAATCTCAGCCATCGCCTTACCACCAAGTTCACAGGGTAGCAAACCATCGATGATAGCGCTAGCAGTATCCGGTAGTGAGCCGAGAAGACGAGGACGACCTTCAAACAATACGATGATGACCTTGGTTCCTGTGGCAGCAAGAGCCTCAACATACTCGATCTGACCAGGGGGCAATGCCAGGTCGTCAATGTCACCAGGCTTTTCAGTGTACTGCTTCTCACCAATTACAGCGATCGTGTACTCGTGCTGGCCGGCAAGTTCCACCGCCTTGGCGAGGTCCGCCTCCGAGTATGTGCCGTTCTCGTACAGGCCATTGAAGTAGGTGAATGAGTTGTTACCAACCAAGTCTTCAAAGCCCTGACGCACCGAGATACCGTTCAGGAACATCTCGTTGCCGGAGTATCCCTGCCACGCAATGCTCCATCCACCGCACTGGTACCCAACGTTGTCAGCAGAGTGACCGGTTAGGAAGACGGAGGCGTCCTTGGCCAACGGCAGCACGCTCTCATTGTTTTTCAAGAGCACGATCGACTCGCGTGCCAGATCCAGAGCCACCGCCTTGTCTTCGTCGTTACCTACCAAGAACTCGAACTCCTCACCAGGGACCGGGTTTTCGTAAAGTCCAAGCTTGAGCTTCATTTTCACGATGCGCTTAGCAGACTCACGGAGGCGGGTCTCGTATTGAGGGTAGCCCACCAACATGTTCTCGGTGTAGTTGATGAAAGAAGTATCATTCGGGACCATACTCATGTCAAGCGACGTGTGAGTCAGCGATAAACGAACGGCATCCTCGTAAGTTTCAGCGACGCGATGCCAATCCTTTAGATTGTTGATCTCAGCCCAGTCGGAAACCAGAAGACCATCAAAACCCAGATCTGAACGCAGAAGGTCGTTCAGGATACGGGGATTGGCGATCACAGGCTCACCGTTGATCGAGATGTAGTTCTCCATCGTCGACAAGGCACCGGCTTCGATCGCAGCCTTGAAAGGAGGCAGGAAGTAGTTGAGCAGGTCAAAGTCGTCCATGATAACGTTGTCACGGTCGTGGCCCGTAGGGGTCTTGGAATACCCGATGAAGTGTTTCATGCAGGCCCCAGTTTGGTTATAGCTCTGAAGACCGCGGACAAGTGCTTCTCCCAAGACCGTAACGAGGTACGGGTCTTCGCTGAACGTCTCGTAAGTGCGCGACCAGAGAGGGTTCTGCGAGATCTCGAGAATGGGTCCGAAGACCCACGGAATTCCAGCAGCTTGGGTGTCACGTGCAGTGATCTGGCCTGCCTTATGAACCAGATCGGGATTGAAACTAGCACCGCTGTTGATCTGTTGACCGAAGATCACGGCACCGGTAACGTAGTTGGCACCGTGTACCGAGTCGAGACCGTAAATGATGGGATGGCCCCCGTTCTCCTCCATGGTGATTTCCTGGATACGGCTCACGACAGCTCGCCATTCTGTGGCGTTCCACCCGTACTTTTCTCCGAGAGGTTCGTCCCAAATGGTGTTGAGGTACGAACCGACATACTGCTGGGCGTACGCGCGAACATAGTCCTCGTTCAAAGTGTTATCTTTGTTCATGACAGTACTGATGTCGACCTGGGTCATCTGGCCGATAACTTGCGCCGTCGAGAAGCCGTCAACAATGGCTTGAGCTTTGGTTTCGTACGCATCATCGTTGGCCACCGCGAGAGTCGCCGTTGCAGCTAAGCTAGCTGCAGTGATCCAGCTTGTCCACATTAGATCCGCGTGCGTCGGATACTAGACAGGTCGATGCTTGTGATGATTAGTCCTTTGCTAGGCAGGGAGGAAATTGAAAAGTGAGTTCGGAGACTTTGCCTTTCTCGATGGCTGTTGAAAGATACCTTGATCATAGACTGCTAATCCATACGGCTCTGCAATATCCATACGGCTCTGCAATATCCATACGGCTCTGCTTGCGGCTAAGATCGCAATGCCGCCATCAGTGGCCACAAGTGAACCCCTGCCCGCAGACCAATCCAATTTGCATCTGCGAATTTCATCTTGGTTCTCTGACTCCTTGGTACGAAAGCTGGCAAGAAGATTGTGACAATGGCTGCTGCTTGTGACAACCTCGACAATCTCTTGGCTCAGCTGAAGAGATCGGGATGGGTAGACTGATAGATGAAGTACTTCAAAGGCATGTTTTAACTAAAGTGACAGCGACAGTATCTGGTACAAATGCGAAAGCAAATTCCTAAATGGGAACCAACCCAATGATTCCCTCGTCTTAACCAAGCTGTCCAAAAGAGATGGCATGCGGCTTGCATGAATTAAGCGAGCACAACCGTGCAGCGAGGTTTCGAATTGGTGGAAGGACGACATCCAGCATTTTGGAGGCGAGAGCCATTGTGGATGAGGCTGAGGACAACGCTGTGGGCGCTGGATAGACTTTTTTCTCGACCCGTCTTCCTACTTGGAAGGCTCTGATCAAGTTGGAACGAGCTGCCAGCATCGATCGTCTATCCAGCACACAGGTTCAGCGATCTGAAAGACATTTCGCAGTGCGAATTCGTCGCGACTACCAGAAAGTGACAATCACCTCGAGTTTCAGTGGTTTAACCTTACAGTTAAGAGTCACCAACCCACAGTGTTTCAGTGGTTAAGTATTCTTGAGCTACAGGCATCGCTGCCGGAAGTCGTTCTGTAGGTGTTTTATAAGTATGCGTAGGGCACTGTAGCAGAACCTATTACTAAAAATCGAAGTTTCTTCATGAAATCACAACAACGCGCCAGTATCATACAAGAAGATTTGCTTTAGATTCAACGATAGCACACGAAACCGCAGATCGGCAGCGAAATCTCCATGGGTTTACCCCCGTACACTGTACAGATTTTGCAGATATTCGTCGCACAAGGCACCACGAAAAATATCATTAACGGCGGCGCGAGGTTGTGCCGTTGATACCAAAGTTGACACTTCCCGTATCGAGCGTGAACTGCGCGCAGAGTTCGTTGGTGATCGTGTTATACACGTCGCAATCGGTCTCAGGCTTGATCGCCACAACGAAGGTGCCGTCCTCGGCAACCTGGTTGAAGCCGCTGCCAATCTGAGGGTCGTAGACGCTCCAGTCATCGGCCGTAAGGGTGAAGGTGACCTCTTCGGTGATACCAGGCTCTAGACTGATCTTCTTAAACTTGCGCAGCATCTTGACTTCGGGTACGGAGATCAAGCGGTACGGCTGGACCACGAACAGCATAACCGTCTCCTTGCCAGCAACCGAGCCCGAGTTTGTCACAAATACTGATGCTGTCAAGGCGTCGTCGGGTCCAGACACCGTAGTCTTACTCAGCGTTAGCGCAGAGTAAGTGAAAGTGGTGTAACTTAATCCAGTACCGAAATCCCATTGCATTTCACAGTCAACATACGAGCCGGTGTCATCGACGCATTTTGTAGTCACCCTGTGGTTGTACGGGATCATTACATTGCCTGAGTCCTTGGGGTATGTGAGTGGAAGACGTCCACTTGGGTTCACTTGCCCGTACACAATCTCCGTCAAAGCTTGGCCACCCAGTTCACATGCAAGCAGCCCGTGGATAACAGCACTCGCCATGTCCGGGAGTGATCCAAGTAGACGTGGGCGGCCCTCGAACAGAACGAGGATGACCTTGGTACCAGTAGCAGCAAGCGCTTCAACGTACGCAATTTGACCAGCAGGGAGGTCGAGATCGTCAATGTCTCCGGGTTTCTCAGCATACGTATCCTCGCCAATAACAGCGATAGTGTATTCGTGCTGGCTTGCGAGGTTCACGGCCGTAGCGAGGTCAGCGTCCGAGTACGTGCCGTCCGCGTTCAGTCCGTTAAAGTACGTGAACGAGTTGTTGCCAACTACGTTTTCTAAACCCTGACGCACCGAGATACCGTTCGGGTACATGTCGTTACCGGAGTATCCCTGCCATGCAATGCTCCATCCACCGCATTGATATCCGACGTTGTCTGCCGAGTGACCCGTTAGGAAAACCGAAGATCCGTTTGACAATGGTAGGATGTTGTCGTTGTTTTTGAGCAATACAATAGATTCCCGTGCCAAATCCAACGCCACAGCCTTGTCATCGTCGTTACCAACTAGGAATTCGTTGCTGGCACCAGGCACTGGAGTCTCGTACAAACCGAGCTTGAGCTTCATCTTGATCACTCGTTTGGCCGATTCCCGCAATCGACTCTCGTATTCAGGGAAACTGCTTAACATTGTAGTAGCGTGGGTGATAAACTCCGTGTCATAGGGAACCATACTCATATCAAGAGCTGTACGCGTGAGCGACAAACGCACAGCTTCCTCGTAAGTATCCACAACACGGTGCCAGTCCTTCAGGTTGTTGATCTCGGCCCAGTCGGTGACTACCACACCGTCATAGTTGAGGTCATTGCGAACGAGATCTTCGAGGATCTTCGTGTTGGCAACCACCGGGATACCGTTGATGGAGATGTAGTTCTCCATGGTCGACAGAGCACCAGCCGAAATTCCAGCTTGATAGGGCTGGACGAAGTAATTGAGCAGGTCGAAGTCTGCCATGGTTACACCATCGCGGTCGTGTCCAGTGGGGGTCTTGGAGTAACCCACAAAATGTTTCATGCAGGCCGCTGTCTGGTTATTGCTCTGCAGTCCTCGGATAATAGCGTCACCCATGACTGAGCATAAGTACGGGTCTTCACCGAACGTCTCGTAGGTGCGAGCCCACAGAGGGTTTTGCGCGAGATCGAGGATAGGACCAAAGACCCAAGGAATTCCAGCCGCCTCCGTATCGCGACCAGTGATCCGACCGACTTCATAGACCAAGTCGGGGTTGAAACTTGCCCCACTGTTGATCTCCTGGCCGAACAGGACCGAGCCAGCGACGTAGTTGGCTCCGTGCACCGAGTCGAGGCCGTATACCATGGGGTGACCACCGTTCTCCTCCATTGTGATCGCCTGGATGCGGGTGACGATGGCGCGCCACTCCGTTGCATTCCAACCCCACTTACCGTCAATCTCACTGCCCCACGGCGTGTTGAGGTACGAACCGACATACAACTTGGCGTACGTGCGCACTGAGTCTTCGTTCAACGAGTAATCGCTGTTAAGCACTTGAGTGATAGTTATTTGGGTCATCTGGCCCAGTACTTCAGCGATGCTGAAGCCGTCCACGATGGCTTGAGCTTGCGAATCGTACACATCATCAGCAAGATTGCGCGCGGCAACAGGGACAGTGGTGAATGCAGCAATGCAGCCAAGAGCGACAGCCCACGATGTCAGCATTGCAATTGTTATCTGGAGGATCACCTGCTGTAGATTGCGCTGCCCCAAGGAGATTGAAAAGTGAGCAGGAAGCGGAGGGAGCGGTCACCATGGTGAGGAGCTGTATCAAGGAATCTCTAGCCTGTTAGTCTGCGTAGGGGGAGACGTGGAACGCGCGCGGTCATTGCTGGTGTTGAAGCTGCATTACCGATCGGCATGGACCACGCCGTGGTGCCGTGCCTCCCTCCTTTGATCACCAAGTTGTTGCGGTTGAATCAACCAATTTGATTCATCAAATTGGTGTGGTGTGACTGTCGGTTTCAAACGTATTCCGCACACTGGTGATATAATATATTACAGGTTTTATCACTTAAAAACGTATGTCTTTTGGATAAAGTACGATATGTAGAACGAAAGGAAAAAGACAACTTCAACTTGAAAGCTAAAAATCATTCGGGCGAGCATCGCTACGTATTTCAATGCTAGTCTTGCACAATGCGAGAACGTTTACTGACCTGTTCTGTAGTCCACAATGATATCGCATCGAATTAAGTGATTAGTGGGAGACTCTTTCACTAATCACTTGATAACCACATCAGTGGAGCTGCATTTATCTTCGGCTTTCGCGCGAGGATACAAAACAACGGTCGTTCAAGCTCAAATGCTGCTTTGGACCAAACCTTGGTCGGTTCAATTGTTGACTCGACAGTTTTGAGAGCAGCATGGAAATAACCGTCATTCAAATTCAGTTAACAACAACTATACTTGTACAGAATGCGTAAAAACGTTTCTACAGGTCAATTGCAGTTGTACTCCTACGAATGAGATCATCAATTCTGCACAAGCTCGATAGTACAGCTGGTTGCAGTTCAAAGTAAACTGCAGGTTGAGTGGTCACGATGACAGAGGTCCGAGCTTTACTAGATTTCGATGATGAAAATGTTTGTTAAAATGTCTTCAGGACCGCAAGTAGTTAGTCTACATCAGTGCAATAAAGATCACGACAACTGCATACACTGTCATAACCTGTGCTGATGCTCTTTACGAGCACTCGAGACCGTTCAAACCGACGTATGACCTAACGCTCGCAATAACACGAGTACTTAGATCATATTTAACTCACGCATTTGAAAGAATACGCAGAAGGCCTTATTCCTGTCAAGCATTCTTATTCAATTCTATGTTTCAGAGCGCGGTCTGCCAATATGTTTTCGATGTATTCTCGGTTGACAACCGTATTTTTCAATCCATGGACGATGAGAAAATTGGTAAGAGCACGAACGTTCTTCGGGTTATATGCTGCACCATCCTTCATCTCCAGAGCAATCTGCGTACACAGTTGCAGTTGAGTCAACTCACACTTCGGTGTGGAAGCAGGAGAGCGCTTTGCTACAGAAAACCCTCGAACGTTATGCGTCAGTCCACGCAGCACTTTATTCTTGACTTCAATTGGTGCAGCGTGTGATACACGGATCACAATATCGCGGTCTTCTTCAACGTAACGCCGGACCACCTGCTGCATCTTTACGTCTGCTTTAGAGCTGTTAGAATACACTTCTTTCGTAAACTCCTCGATAATTGTGTATGGGTCGTCAAGATTCTGCAACATTTCAGAGGTTAAATCTCATTAACATACACCTTCAGTATCTCTGATAGCAACCCCACCTTCGCTGATTTCTCGTATAAATTACCGTACGCCATATGCTTCTCTGCTCCCTTGAAATAATCCCACGAAGCTTGTGCCGTGTCTTGCAATCCAAACGGTAAGTCTTTGTATGTAAAGAATTCCAGGTACTTCCCGTCAACATCTTCACGCATCTGAACGTCCTGAATCGGAATACTCCTGTTTGCCAGACCATTTGAAGCAAAAATGGCGTCCAGGTCTCGATACGCTCCGTCAATGCGATAGAATAGTTCCCGAAAGTCTTCCACATCACCACAGAAGTAAGACACGTCGATGGTCGGGCGCTCAATGCAACACTGATTAATCAGCGCTGCACACTCATTATTCTGGGCAACAGCAGCAATTAGCCACCATCAGCAGCAGTAGTAAATACGCGTTTTAACACGTTTGGAGCTTACCAATTGCCGTGTTCGCTTCCGCACCAATAGGCCGAGACTGTCCGCCATCTTCTTCTGTCGTTCCACCGCGAGTTTCAGCCTCACATTATCGCACTCTGCCTGTTCTCTTTTGCGTCGCTGTCTTATGGCCTGCTCCTGCCATAAACTCAGTCTCTGTGTGGTCGAATGCAGTGCAATTATTCCATTTTTCTTGGTCTTCTGCAGTACCTGTAGGTCGAGCTGGAGTTTCTCCAACTGCTCGCGCAGGAACGCGATCTCCCTCGTTTGCTCATTGCGTGCGCGGTTTGGGTCACTATAGATACCAGCCTTGCGTAGCATTCGCTTCTTCTCGGCACGTAGGCGGTGCTTCTCTTCCTTAGACAGCGAAGTGGGCGATTCTGTTGAAGCGGTGATTGCTAACTTCTGACTGGGCGCCGGCATCACTTCGCGAGGTAGTTGAGGGTAGGAGACGCTCGACGAGGCAGTGAGGCCATCAGCATCGAAATCAAACTCGTCCACGAACGACAGTGCGGCCTCAAGCACACTAGTGTCGTCCTCTTGCTGGAAGGACGCCATAATGACAGATGAGTCAGACCGTGTTTAAACAGTTTTTAAACATGCTAAAACAGTGAAATATACAGTTTAAAGTTGTTTTGTTATTTTGAAACAGCGGATAAGACGTGTAAACCTGAAACAGGTTAGAGAAATATCGAGAAAATTCGATCATCTCCAGTACGTCACTGATCCAGTCGACACCACGAGCATCCGACATGTCTGTGCCTCCGACGAGCGCCGCGAATCTGAACGTGGGCTGGGATCCGTCTCCTCTGTCTGCGTCCACGGGTGGCGATTTCGACGCCAACTCATTGATCGAGCGCACGCAGGAGGTCAAGGTGGACGTGAACGACTACTCGCGCTTCAAGGACATCGGCAAGGACCTGGAGGACGAGGACAAGAAACAGGATACGCAGCCTGCCGCAGTAGCGCCTGAAGCCAAGTGCCGCAACTGCAGCAAACCCGGTGCCAAGCTTAAGTGCAGTGTGTGTAAGAAGGCCGTCTATTGTGCGCGCAACTGCCAGGCGAGCGACTGGCAGTTCCACAAGCGTATCTGTAAGAAGCCCGAGCCTCCTAAGAAGCCGGAGCCTCCGCGTCGACCACCCACCAAGAGCTCCACGAGCTCTACTTCTTCTTCGGCGAAGACGACGAGCTCGACGTCTAGTAGCAGCAAACCCAAGGCGTCCAGTGGCTCATCCGTAGTGGTGACGGATGAACCAGACCTGCCCGAAAACATGCGCGGCTACAAGAATGGTCTACCGTATTTCCACCGCGAACTGTCCAAGGAGGAGAAAAATTTGATTGGAGACATCGCACCTCAGAAGATTGAGCTTAAACCTGCGGGGGTGAGTGACAGGATACGGAATGCAGGTTAAAAGAGCAAGGTTTACTGATGTTTTTTTTATCTTGCAGCCGGATCCTGTACAGCATGATGGTTCTGCGTGGAATAAGGCTGGTACCTTTGAAGAGCGTGTGGTGACCAAGTGGGCAGAGGACAAGTGGAAGGAGATCTTTACGGGTGCGACCTACTCGGAGGGCAACTTACAGGCGACATTGAAGGCGCCGGAGAAGATCTCGGGAGACGCTAGCATTTGTGTTGTGCGAGGCAAGAAGCGGTATCTGTTCGACTTCAGCTTGAAGTTGCCTTTTGAAGTGGCTATCAGCGGCGGCAGCACCTGCAAGGGTACGTACGAGATGAACGACATCTCAAGCGACGAGGACTACGAGGTACGATATGTAGTTGGGTTTTGTATTATCTGTTGTCGGACTAAGCGTATTCCTTTGTTTTTGGTGGTGTAGATCTCGTGTAGACTGACCAAGAAGCTCAACAATGCCAGCGAGCAAAGCGCCGTGCAGGCGTTCGTCGCCAAGAAGGACAACGGTCTGCAGAAGGAGCTCGTGCGACTCATCAGCGTATTCGCGAGCGAGTTCCAGCAGCAATAGAAACGTGTAAAGAAGACAAGGTAGATCGTGTTCCTGTCAACGAGTACCATGCATAGAATGCAGATACTTCATATCGTTTGCCTTCAACCTCAGAATCCTCTTTATCCTCACTTGTACTTCTCATGTTCAGGGCTCTGAATACAAAATTTGAGGCGCTAATTCAGGACTGATGGCATGCTCCGATGCAAGACTTTTACGGGCAGCGATCATGCCCATGTGGCAGCTCTGGAGTATATCGTATCCTTCCAACAAGCCGTAAACCGTTCCACCAACCAAGCTATCACCTGCAACATCATCAATATCAATACAGATTAGAAATGGTTCTAGCACGAGGAATCTGCAACTCTCGTACCAGCTCCGGTGCAATTCTTAACGGGAATTTCTATACCGGGAAGGTGGACCATTGTGACAGAGTGGCCTCCATGAACATGATGCATGCCCCAGATTTCCACGTCAAAGTCGCAATCGTCCACGATCTCACGCAAGTTGTCTGCAGCCATATTGATAGAGGCGACTAGGACACCATTTTTGCCCAGAGTGACCATGACATGCTTAGGTCTTTTAGTGTCACCGTCAGCCATGGCGAGTAGCGCTGTTGGAGTAAAAAAAAACACAAAAGACGCATTAGCATTAGTACAAGTATGTTCGATTCCTGAACGTACTTGTAATGAGGTCGTTTTTCAGTCGTTCCATCTCCTCCTGGGGAATAATGCCTGATTCCTTAGTGAGTGGGAACCGTTCGTGGGCTGCATTGTTCTCTGCTGAAAGTTCTGTTTCCTGACGAATGGCATTGCTGATCGCGTGCAGCTCGTCAGCGTTGGGAGACATGTACTTCATGGAAGATACGCCGCCTCCTTCGACAACTCGAATAGCCTTCTGAACAGAGGTAGGCTCGAACCAAGTATCGACGCCAAGATGGACACAACGTGTGAAGAGATCTCCGATAGTAGCTGGAATCAAATTCCCGTCCGCGATAACAAGCTTTGCTTTATCAATCGCCTTGTCGGAGATAACCTTGCTTTCCTAGCATAGAGATCGTGGTGTTATACACTGGCAGAGTAAGACTGTCACTTGAATACAGCACTTACAATCGACTCGAACGCGCTCATATCTGCAACCGCAGCGTCCATGTCTCCAGTGGAGTCCAGCACAGCAGAGTACACAGCAGTAGAAAGGTTGTCGGAGATTCTGATACCACTGGTGTTCATGCCCAGCTTCTTCAAATTCTCCAAGAGAATGGAGCCCGACGCGTCACTTCCAATGGACGACACGAGCAACGGATCAAGTCTGAGCCGGTGCAGACATTCAGCGATATTCCTTCCAACACCTAGCAAAATACCAAATAAATTAGATACGAAAACGAGGGGTGAAGACACATCTCATACCTCCGCTAGACTGCTTGATGGTCCCGATATTGGAGGTGCCGCGGATAAGCGGCGAAGTAGAAGAACTAATGATGTCCAAGACGAGGCCACCGACAACAAGAACGCGATTTCCGCTGCTTGTGCTGGAAGGTTTCTGTAAGCCAATCTTGATAGTAAAACCACCAGCCATAACTACGGCATGAGCATGAACATACCTTATCAGGCAGGGAATAATCAACAACGGAGTTGGCTAAGGAATCCACTACATATCCATTTTCCAAGGCAAACAGTGCGCATGCGATCTACAGTATCCAGCCACGAAATAAAAACGCGACGTCAATCAATAGCTTGTGGAACATAGTCCATATCTCCAAGTTTACCTGACTGCCGACAGTGGCGTTGTTGTTGACTAAGTCAATGTTTGAAGTCAAAGAAACACCCTGCGTGATCTCATTTACGCGCTTCAACAGGTAGGGCGTGACGGCTTGGCCATGAATATTCTTGTCCGCAACCTCCTTTAGTCCAAGCTGGGATACAAAATCAAATTATCAAGGTTAGTCTCCTACCACTGAGATAACGAAGGCATTACATTACCTCAATGGCCTCATTGATAAGCTCAGAAGGCACAGGTTCTGGATTTGGGACGGCGATAATGTGGCCATTCGGCAGCTCCAGAGCCTCACTTTCGAGAATCAGGCGTGCAATGTCCTGAGAAGTGTCCCGGCGCAAGTGAGCTTTCTCGCCGCTGTCTTGCGTAAAGAAGGCGGGAAACTGGTCCGTCTTGTAGCCGATCACTGGTACACTCTACGACATCATCACGAATATCATACCCAATTCAGCCAACAAACTTCAACCTTCGTAATCCGTTCACATTCATACGTGGGTTTCCAGGAACTCCAGCGTTCGTGGGATATCGAGAATGGACTTGACGCCGGCACACACCACCGCCACAGGCGTCCGTGACAGCTCCATCAAGTCCGTCGAAATGTCTGCAGCACATTAAACCATCAGTGCTCCCAATTATCCCAGTATATAGCCCAACGCACCCATGGTCTCCTCACAAAAGCGATGCACGCCTCCAATGCCTCCTGTCACGAACACCTTGATACCTGCAGCATGAGCGATACGCCTGTAATAAAACACCACAAATACCTCGTTAGAGCACGTTGGCCATCGCTCTATATACCGCTTGATCGACGCACATCGTGCTGGAGACGGTGGTGGCTCCCACCACCTTCTTGTCCGTGACGGCGGCCGCGATATCCCTCGTCGAGCACTTTTTGGCCCCAGCGCCGAGTTCCGCCAGCTGCGTCAGATCCTGCTCCGCCAGTCCCACCTTTAGCGATCCATCAGCAATGCAGACTGTGGCGGGGCAGGCCCCATGAGACCGCACGATCTCTTCCACGTGCTTGGCCATCTCCAGGTTCTGCGGGAACGGCATGCCGTGCGAGATAATTGTGGACTCGAGCGCTACAACGGGCTTCTTCACGCGCCCGTACAGAGCCTCCGATACCTCCTCGCTCAGCGCCAGGCGCTGGCTCAACGCTGTCCCGCTTCGTCGCCACATTCTTGCCAACTTCTGTATGAGCTACAGACGGCCAAACACAAAGTGATCCCTCGAAATGACAAGCTTCAAGTCTGCATGTTTTATGCCACTAATCTAACTCGTTTCAGTGACATATGTGCAACTTAGTTATTGTTCTTGCGGCAACATTAAGCGTCGCCAGCAATTTTAGATCAAAAATCTGGCCGTTCTAATTCAAAATTTGGTTTGCACAAATTGAGCTGCCGATCCGCGCCATCGAATAATTGCCATGGGATTCGCGCACTCGCTCGAGGTGCTGTACGCGCTGCTGCGGCTGTACGCGAGCGGTGCTGCATCGTCTACTAGCTTCTCCGATGTGCCCTATCCACATCTACAGCAGCGACTGCAGCAAACTCTACGCGCGGTTGCTCTCACGGCCTTCGGCGCCGTGTTCATTCCATTGTTGCTACTTTGTCTGCTGCCGCTGCTCTCTCCGCTGGAATTCCCGGGCTTCACTGCGTTCCTATTGGTGGTTGCTTCACTATGGACCGCTGCAGTTGCCCATTTGACGTTCCGGTACGCGCTGCTGCCTACTCCGCGACGAGTGGAGACCGAGCCGGTCCGCGGAGGGCTCCAAGCTGCTGTCTGTGCCATAGTGGACGCCATAACGCGTATGCGCGAGCAGCCGCAGCTGCCCGTGTTGCTTCTTCTCTGTGTAATCCACTCGTACGTCTGGAAATTCGTGTTATACTACGGAATGGCGTCCAGCGCCCACGTTGCTGCGGATTTTGGATCATTCACAATCGCTGGCGGCCTCGTGGCGTTCGTGTCTTTCGTGCTGATGGAGAAAAGCCTGGCTGAAGATCCGTTCGTGCTGGACCCGCGTGCGGCTTTTGTGAGAGCCATGCAGAGAGATGTGGTGCGTGCTGTGCGCCGCGGAGTGCTCGTATACATTGTTGGACGTGCGTGGAGCTGGGTATTCGGTGGCAGTGAGGTGGATCTGGGCGGGACAGAGTCAGGATTCTTCTCGCTGCATTCTTCTAGAGTGACGTTCCAGATTACGACCAGTTTTCTGGAGAATCTTGCTATCTTGAGCGCTGCGTCGGTGTTCAGGATCTTGCTGTTCCGCGCGAGTCACCAGGTGTTAGGCGGTGCTTTTGGTGAGACCAAAAACTTGTGGGACTCGCTTGCAAGTGTGAAACCTAAGGAAGGAGACGTCGTGAGTGCTCTGTTTGCGACGGAAGTTACGACGAACCCGCAGCATACCACGCCGCTGAATAAACAGTATCTACAGGGTCTGCACAAGCGCATGGACGCAGCGGTGAAGAAGATCTCAGACAAGAAGACGCCAAAAGCTCCTGCAGACGCAGAAGCTGTGGAGATTTTAGACAGTTTGTTTAAGTTTGAGAACTTACTCACTGGATGCAAGTTCGATGCTGCTGCACGAGAAACGCTCTTCACGTCTCGGGATCGCTGGAATGCGTTGTTCAGCACAACGACGGCGGTGGTGGATGGCTTCACGTTGATGTTGCAGCTGCTGAATACACTGCCGGACAGGAAGGGCGATGCAGGTGACAACTCATCTACTGGCGCCTTGGCTCTTGAGCGGTCTGTCGCTGCTTTGTTGCGCTTCTTGAACTCGCAACAAGACGCCCACCCGCTACTTCTGCTCCAGCAATATCCTCATCTAGCGAACCTTCGTATCTCCTCTTCTAGTGTGAAGTCATCCATCAGGTTTTTCGTCGAGTCGAAGCTGCAGCTCGCGATTCGCCGCTACTTGGTGGAAGAAGCACGTCGGCGTGTGTTCCAGCGCGTGAGGGTAGTTTGTGCAGCTGAATCGTTGCTGTGTCACCTCGTTAGTGTCTCGCGTGAGGAGGACAAGCAGGGATATGTTCAGGTAAGTCTCTGTTTCTTTGTGAACTGCTGCTGCTAACTATTGACATTGTCTTTTTGTTCTGTAGCACACTGTACCTGCTGTAGTTTCGTCGCTCTTGGAGTGCCGCAATGCATTGGACGCATACATGGAGACGTGCTTGAAGGAGAGCAGTACGACCGATGTCTACGTGCAACAAGCCACGGCCCTAGCAAAAGGTGAGTTGTGTTGCTGTTGTGGAAGCGTAATACGTTCCTGTAGCTGACCATTTTTACGGTTCTTGCTCACAGGAATCGACAGCGGTATTTATCGCATCACTGAGGTATTTCAAGGTGAGTTGTCCTTGTTCAAGTTCCCTCCAGGCGTCAAGAAGGCGCTGCTGGCGTACGCGAGCTTCGGATCTTAGAGAATAGTGTGGCGCCAACGATTCTGATCATTCCAACAGTGTCATTGCTTCCCAATTCTGCAACATTCTAGTTACTGTTCGGGTTTTTGGAAGTCAAATTTCCCTTTCGCCAATGCTGTGTCGAAGTCGACCATCGCAATGCACTGCGCAACCATAGACATATCAGTCAGAATCACCGGACAAGATGCCTTGGTATCTAACATTTCGTACCTGTTCGTCTACAGGAGCGTTGGCAGGTATCCGCTGCATGGCTTGGATCGCTGCAGATTGGCACAGCGCTATCAGTGACGCTGCATTAGCACCTTCTGTCTCTAGGACCAGTTTGGTGAGCTCGACGTCTTGGCTCCATGGCATCTTGTTGCATTGAATCTCCAGAATGGCGTTACGTTCGTTGGCGTTAGGCAGCCCAACATACACGACATTCTCGAAGCGACCTAGAAAGAGAAAAGCATAGCAGGTAAAACAGGCTCTGTTGGATCAAAGGTGAAATTATCACACGCACCAGGCTGAAGGAATGCCGGATCGATGGCAGACAAGGCGTTTGTAGCTGCGAGAACAAAGATCCGACCAGCAGCAACGTCAGAGGCATGAGCTTTGCTATCATCAGATACCGCCTTCAGTGCATCGAGCTCCATCAGCAGCTGAGAAATCATTCGAGATGTTGTCTGGCCTGCCGTTGATCGGCTGCCAAATAGTGATTGGAACTCGTCGATGAAGATCATACACGGACTCAGTGCCCGGGCAGTATCGAACGCACGAGTAATGGCCTTCTCACTCTCACCAATCTCAGCTTTCATTAGATCGCTAGCTGACAGATTGAGGAAGTTGCATCCGCTTGCCTTGGCTGTTGCTTTGGCGAGCATGGTCTTTCCTGTACCTGGAGGACCGTGCAGCACCATACCTAAAGGCGATGAGATTCCCATTCGACGAAAAACTTCCGGCTTCTCCAACGGCCACACAACCATCTCGATCAAGTTTTGCTTGACGCGCTCTAGACCGCCGATATCGCTCCACGAGACATCTGGGACCGAAGAGCTAAGAGTATCTGCACCGTTGCTGGTACTGGAGATTTCACGTGCTGAAGCCGCGATTTCCGATTCAAGTTTCTCTACGCTGACATCCTGGCTGTCTCCACTTGACAGACGCGTACAGATTTGTTGAGCAATGGACGCGATGTTGCTTGGCCTTTGACCGTAGCGAACCGCTAACGACATGAGAAATTCGCGGCGCAGTAGCTTTGACCGAGGTACCAATGAAGTTAATAATTCAACGGTCCATTGGTTGTCAGGAACCTGTTGAACCACAGCAATGATTACTGAGTTAATGTGGCGGATAGAGTAAATTCATTGAGCAACACCTACATCAAGAAATACTTCCTCAGTGAAGAGCTGTCGCACTTTTGAATGCAGAGCACTAAGTACTGACACGGTGCCAATGACTGCAACGCAAATTGAGCCAGCTTTGTCTGCATGAGAAGCAGACCGGGAGTGAGAAATGAAACATTATTGCAGGAGCAGATTTGATACGTACGAATGCTCTCGAGACAGTTTACCAGCCGACAAACAAGTTTATACTTGGTTTCATCCAAAGTCATGGGGAATAATAGCTCGAGATCCTCTAACAGCAGAACACACGGCTGGATCCGTAGTGCAGCTGAGAAAAAGTCTTCCAAACGTAATTGTGGAGACGCTAACAGCCCACCATCCAGTACGAGTAAATTCGCTCCCATTTCCTCCGCAATCTGATGCACTAGCGTCGTCTTGCCAGCACCACTCGGTGCGTGCAACAGCAGTGAGTGAGGGGCGGCAGTGGTCGGGATTGCAGCATCCACCACAGCGGTCGACGTTCGTTGAAGCGCCATCGCCACCAACTCTCGGAACCCACGAGTATGAGCCCCTAAATGCTGATATTTCCGCTTGGTTAGCGGTGATCTCATTGACGGCGACGTAGCAGACGGGAACATCAACACCAACGTCTCGTCCGTCACGAGTCCACCATCAAACAGCTCAACTTCATCCCCACTGCGTCCACTAAAAAATGCCTCGTAACTCCACTTGCCATAATCCAATCCGTCACGCTTTAGCGTAATGGACCCTGCTCGTCCTGTCAAGATCCGACCACGCAGCAAACTCTTAGCGAACGGGAGCGCGAGCTTCATCTGCTGTTCACCCGCTGGTGCCAACGCCAAGTATTGCACGATCCGAACGTCCGACGGTGCTACTAGCTTAAGATTCACTTCATCTCCAGTCGCAACTGCATTGCAGCATTCGTTTGCGCTCGGATCCTCGCTACACGATGGCCAGTGGTCAATCCTGACCATTCTCTCAACTACACCCGCCAGCTTTTCATCAATCTGCAAGTGAAAAATGCGCAACGAATGCAGTTTACAGCGCTGCAACGACGCATAGCATCCCCACGCAGCATCCAATCCCTTAAACGTGGCTGGAGACACGTACGCAGTGCTGGTAGCGCTGCCCGACTCTGTCACCTCCACCAGCATTGATAAAGTGTAAAATGTATCCATGTCACTACATTTTATAGCCCCTTTTTACTGACCTTCTGCGCCACATCAGCCGGATACATTCAGCAATAATGACTTGGGTCGTGCCGAACGAGGATGCAGTGACGCTGGGCGAGCTTAATGGAGAGCTCTACAGCGTCTCCAAACGAGACGACGCGCGTGTGGGTGACGAATTCATCCGACGTGGTGGTTGTGTGTTGCCCCCGGCACGTGTGGCAAGCTCCAAGCCCCGTCCATTCGGCCAGGGAGACTCGCTGACGGACGAGCAGGACGAAGAGGTGGATTCAGGCGCCTTGAGACTACTGAAGCGTGCGCTCGGAACCGCCAAAATCTTGTTGATGGACGATGAGCAGGCCGTGCTGAACCGCGCGCTGGACACCGTCGGGAGTGCCGCACAGAGACTACTGAAGGCTGCAACGGATGAGGAGGAGCTAGAGCTGGAGACTCAAGAAGCGAACTCCAATGGCGAGAGCATCGTGGGCCTGAGCTGGCACCCGACGCGGAACGCGCTGGCTGTGGCACAGATAGACGGTGTTGTGGCGTTGTATAACGTAGAGAGCGCATCGTGGGACGCCAGAGTGCTGGAACACCCCAAGCAAGTGGACATCGGCAGCATTGAATGGGGCAAGTTCACGGGTGACACGATAGCCGTCGCGTGTAGGACGGGTTTATTCCTATGGAAGGTGCCTCAGAAGAGCAAGGAGCCGGTGTTGATGGAGATCCTGAAGCATCCGAGCAATGCTGGTTTCAGTCAGGTGTGCTGGAACGCGGATGGGAGTTTACTGGCGGCGTTTGGTAAAGGATCCAAGTCGGTGATCGTGTTTGACGCCATCTTCTCGAGAAGCACGGAGCTGCAGAGTCCCTATAAACTGTCGTCGCTGCATTGGTCGCCCACTGGAGAGTATTTATTCGTCATCACCGAGTAAGTGTGGTCGGCATGATGATACGATTTGTATTTAACGTATTTTCTATCCCTCATTCGTAGGAGTGGCGTGTCGTTGATGTGGGAGACGCTGACATGGAAGAGAGAGACTTGGGAAGTGGCTGCCGGGGTATGTCTAATAAGTTCTAGGCTACCGCTGTATTGTACGTTTTTGCTAACTTGTTTGTGTTGTTGTCTAGGGCTGCGGATGGTCGAGCGACGGACGGTGTCTGCTTGTGGGGCTTCGTAACAGCGCCCTCTTGTACCCGTACATCTTCCAAGATTGCCCTCCCTCGATAGGTATGTAAAGCAGATGCAGCTAAGTTGTTATTCAACTAACTCGTGTCAATCGCCAATGACGCAGACGCACAGATTAGTTCTCCTGCTCTTGATTTTGCAGAGACGGAGCTCTTTTCACTCGATCGAAGTACCTCTGTGTACGCTTACAACTCTTCATGTAGACCTCTATATCGGTAAGGATCATTAAGTCTAACTTTTATGTGACTTGTCTATCTGTAGCATTGTCGGCGGTAAGGTTCAGGACGTTGCATGGGACCCAAGTGGATCAAGAGTAGCAGTCTCGTATCGGACGTCAGCTATCGGTTCCCACCAGGCTGGCACTGCGAAACTGGTAGCCATTTTCAGTGTGGCATGGCAACCGTTCCTGATTTTCACTCGCAGGTTTGTGTTAAACTGCCTAGTGGCCACGCATTACAACCGTACTAACCTTCATTTGCGTTAACAGCGGCCTTTTGCGTGGGCCTCCGAACGCCGGTGTACCGAGGAAGCTGGCATTCGCTTCAAACTTCAAGCACGGAGCATTGCTGAGCATTGCTTGGAGCAGTGGCTTGATCTCGTTCCACCCGTTCTATTTGAAAGACCCGAAAGCTCCGTAGATTCCACTCGCCAGATACTCTAGCAACTGAAGGGCCAAGCTCGAATAACACCGGTGCTCCAAATTCAGAATATCACACCAGGTGCGCTTACATTGGGCTTGCAACGGTTTCACGATGGTGGCTGTGTTAGTTTGTATTACATTCATTATCATGAGCGTCCTTGTGAAAGCTTTATGCCGCGCCGGCTGCGGCGACCTCGGCGATCCAGAACTCGATTACCTCTGTGTGGATTGTCATGGTGATCAGATCGAACGGCGCCAACAAGAGGAATTCAACAAATACATGGCCAAAGAAGCACATACAACTTCTCATGTGGAAGAAGACACGCCAATTTCGCCAAGGAAACATCGTGGGCCTCGCCCCGTGGATCATGCTAAAGGTACCAGAAAACTAGCGATAGCGTTGTGTATTCCGTTAGCTGACATTCTCGGTTTCCAACGCAGCACTTGATGATTTCTTGCACCAGCATCGTGAGCAGAATTCTAACGCTGCTGCTGGTGAGCTGACGTTTTTAAAGCGGGAGATTGCAGTACGAGAGACTGCCAAGAAGCAACTGCGGAAATACATGGTCGAGACTGATGAAGAACAGCAAGTGGATCCCAAGGAGTGGACGAGGTATGAGTTAGGCCCACCTAATCGAGTTCCGACGCACGAAGTGGAGGAGGCTGTGGAACTTGCAGCTCAGTTGAAACTCTACTGTCGCTGGAGGAAGCGTGTCGTGCAAAAGCGAATTGAGGCTCGACGTCATGAGTTAGAAGCAGAGCGTCTTGCATTGAAGAAACACAAGAAGAAAGGAATCCATGTAGGTTTGCTGTCACTTAGAACACTGAGAGGATCAACGAAGACGGCAGTGGCACATGCCTCGCCCGAGCAGGCAAAGCAAGATCCCGCTACTACAAACAAACGGAGACCAATTTTGTCGGCTTGAAAAAATTAAACCGACTTTTCTCGTTCACATCAGCGAGACTGGAGCTACCTTCATCTAGCCAGGTTTGCTCCTACTCTCAACACGCGCTACCACCAAGCAGATCCATGACCAACAACGGCACACAGCGTCATAGTTTAGCAGCATGAAGAGCTCTCGCGTTTCGATGCTGTGCCACTAAGGTCAATCGTCTCCGGTACGTAGCTGCAACACCCACAAGCAACAAGACGCAATCAGTTTTAACGATACAACCAACGCCAACTTTTGATATACCTACATGTCGTCTTCTTGGCCCTTTTGCAACGCCGAGCTAGCGATTGTCTGGAAAGCTTCCTCCACACTGGTCGCCTCCTTGGCACTCGTCTCAAAGTGCTGAATCGGCTGGCGGCAACACCATAAAAATATCAACAGTCAGTATCAAACAATACCAAGCACTATCAAATTATTTACCTGTTGAACGTTCTTAGAACGACACCACTCCTGCGCCCTCTGCTTTTGAACCTGCACCAAGTCATAATAACCCTCAGCGCATGTATTTAATACACCCATAACTCCAGTCTCACCCTTCGTCCCGACTCCTTGTCCACCTTGTTACCCAGTACAATGAACGGGAAGGCGTCAGGGTCTCTTGGTCCCGCCTGAGCCAAAAACTCGTCCCGCCATGTATCCAGTTTCTCAAAAGACTTGAAAAGCACCCAAACAAGTCAGACTCTAGACTAAGTCACCTGTTAAGCTGTAGCTACCTCACCTTCGGATTGGTGATGTCGTAAACGAGCACACAGGCGTCAGCTCCGCGGTAAAAGGCCACGCCCAGACTCTGGAAGCGCTCCTGGCCCGCGGTGTCCCAGATCTGCATGGTCACGAGCTTGTCGTCCAGCATGATCTCCTTGGTGAGGAAGTCGGCACCGATCGTGGCCTTGTACTGGTTGCTGAACTTCTGGTTCACGTACTGATTCATAAGCGACGTCTTCCCCACGCTAGAACGAACACACCGATTAGTTCAATTTTTTTCAATACTTCTCCTGAGCGTTGACGCACCCACTGTCTCCCAGGATGATCAGCTTGAGCAAAACTTTCTTGCGGTGCGACATATTGTTTGATATGAGGCTTGGTACACTCGCTACAGCACGTACAAGACCAGCAGGTACGCGTCTGCTCCACCTTCTTCACCGCTAATTGCTGATTGAGTCTGAAGAAGAAAAAAATCTTTACTCAAGAGTTTTGACCAATGAAATACAAGTTGAAGCGAGCATGGCTACGAATTTTTCTTATGACCACATGCACATCGAGTGATTGTTAAAAGTTGCTACACTGCTTATAGCAGACGCCGAGTAGGGGCCCCAAAGCGGAACTGGCAGATCGCGGTATTTCCCCGAGCATTTGATTGGTTTGTAGCAGTCGAGGAGCTGGTTGAGTTCGGCTCGCGGTTAGCCACTTCACTCTGGATCCGGTTAAGCTCCATCATGACAACCGGATCGCAGTTCATCTCGGTAGCCAAGCGGATAGTCGTCTGTACCGCCTCCAGATCACTAATAGGCTGTCGAAGAGCGGCTATCGTCGCACGTTGGGCTGCATTCCACTCCAACCACGAGTCATCTAAGCCGTCGAAACCAGGTCCCGATTCGAACGGAGTCGACGAACCCGACGAGTTAGCTGATGCCGTAGCTGCCACGTGACGCGTTAGCTCTTCAGGGCTGACTTTCATACCCACTGAGCCTTGAGTCGTATGCAGTGCCGACTCAGCAAAGTCCGCATCTGTTAAATCTTCATCACAGGCTTTTTCAGCACTAGGAGCCACCACTTCAATTAATCGCATGGGACTAACGAGCTTCAGACGCTTCAGTAGCGCTTGAATCTGTGCATCCAGCTTATCATCAGCGCGGTTATCTGGAATTACTTCAGCTCCGTTCTCTGTGGTCACCAGTACACCGACACTAGCAAACGCAGCCATGATACGAGAGCGCGGGATCTGTTGCCAGCCTCGTGCCACCCACTCGACCACCTTTTGCAGTGGAACGTCATAAATATCGAGCTGTCCTTCCTCTCGTCGGTCAAGAGCGTAGTCCAAGAGCTGATGGCGATAACGGCGCTTAACCGATGACACAATCCCCATCTCCAGCGGCCGCACACACAGCTCTCCAGCGTGGTTACGCTCCACAAAATGCATCTTAACATTCGTGAGTGTTAACTTCTGCACAGTCATGGCAGATACCGAGTCCACAATGAGCACAATATGACGGTCAGTGACGCGCATCTGCCAATCCAATGCACGCATCCACTTTTGCAGCAGCATCGGCGGCATCCACGCCTTGTGGTTGCAAGTAAACTGGAAGGGCTTTTCCTCTGCGTTTGCATTTGGATCTATCGGCAACGGATGCGGCCCCACAAAGTACGGGTTCAGTCTGTCACTGCCATCAGCATTTACTGCTAGGAGCATAGTTAACTTCTTCTCTGGGTGATGACCCGTCGGTAGCGCCTGCCTGTCGAGGCTCATGGCGTAGAATAGCCGCGTTTCATGCAACCAGTAGACGTTTTCGGGCAGTACGTCCATTACGGCGGCCTTGAGATGATCCGGAGTAGAGATGACTGAAGTTTCTGGTGCGAACTTCGATCGGCCGTCCGAGTCCTCCTGTACACGCGGTGCGCGTGTTCCTTTGCTGCCTCTGCCAAGAGAGAAGCCATGTCTGTTCATGAAACAATGCATCCATCCATTGGAGAACTGTGGTGGCGTACTCGTGACGCTCTGGTGTAACTGCGGGGACAGCAGCTCGTAGAATACACGAGCTTTGTGGCGCACCAGGTCACCCGGCAACTTGAATCTTCTGACCTGGCAGTATAGGAACCAGTTGGCCAACGCTGCGTCCACCTCGGGGCATTTGACGGTGCGCATCTTTTTGTAGTCGCGACCTTCGCCCGCCACGAGCTCGAACTGAGTGCGCTTCTTGAGCAAGTAGCTCATGGCCGCCTGCGACGGCACATAATCGAGACTGAACTCTTCCTTGGCCCAATGGCCCAGCTGCGTCTGCGTCGTCTTTGGGAACTGCCGCGCATGCAGGCAGATAAGTCGCTTCTGTTCGTGTGTGAGGTTGGCGCTGCGGGGCTTTCGCGCCATGTTGGCTCAAGCGTTCAAGACACAGGCAGGCTCTGTCTTAGCTAATAGAGTATTAGCTCAAAAGGGGGGAGTGAGAAGCGACCTGGAGAAAACACTTGTGTTCAGTAAAGGAGCCGTGGAGGATGGCGCCAAAAAGCCCGCCGAAGATGATTTTTAGAAATTTTATGATTTCATTTTGATCTAGGATTTGCTTACAAACAACGTTGATGCATCTTTTCAAATTTTGACAAAATTCGATCGGTGATCGATTGCATGTGGGCCACACAAAAGCGATCTTTCATGGTCGTCTTCAGGTAATACATGTACTCAGATGCATGCCGCTGTGAATCCGATACGCGTCGCGCCGTTAGCAGCTTTTCGAGCGTATGACCTATACCTGTGGTTTGCAATCGCAGTTCACGTAGCTTTAGTGTGCGTTCGTCCGTCATGTCAAATGACATGGATCGAATCGTGACTCTATCGCGGAACTTCACGGGTGTATATCGCTAATCTGAGCAACAGTCCACTTCGTGCGGCCTTGTATTTGTTGACAACCTGTCCACCCCTTGCAACCACAGCTTGTATTTTTTTTCCATATTATATGCCAAATGACACCAAAGCGAAGACAACTTGCATGCTACGACCACGAGTCAAAGACTTTGCCCAAAGCATGGAAGTCCGCAGTATAAAGTTATACGAAGGTGCAGTGGACCAATGAGTGATATCTGCAGCAAGAAATAGCGACGGTCATTGGTTCTTTGATACGCGTCATTCGCACTGTTGCCAGCTTCGATCCGTTGCGTGGGCGACGTCACGCTAGATTTGTCATTCAAAACGGGTGGAAACCGATGTTTCATGGCAAAACTGTATCGGAGCAGCTCGATGGAAATGACGAAATCGACCGCTGTGCTCAGTCAGTCACGCTTCAATCTGTTGCTATCAGCAACAACCCACGAGGAAGACTCAACAGCCGATAAAGCGCTTGTGAATAGGGCTATCCATGACCATCACTGTCGGCATCGCAGCAGTTGGGACCGTTGGAGTCGGTATCCGATGGTTGTGTCGCTGTGAATGATCTCAAGATAGACTGTTGCATGCAGCGGAAGCCTCTTTGTGGATCATCCTGGAACCCCCCCCCCCAGCAAGCAACATCAGCAACGACGTGCCCAAGTCGGGCCAAGCTTCAGTATCGGAACCAGAACCAGAGCATTGTTCTATATTTTGACCAATCAACGTGCGTGTGAAACAGTCCCGTTTCTGCAGAAGGTACGGCGCGTTATCAGACAACCGCTGATTGGTGGAGCTCAAATAAAACTCAAACGACCGTTCAAGGTATCAAAAGAGCGGAATGTTTTGTCTAAGCTTGCAAAAACGTCACACCTCTAATATCGTATGCTTTTTTTCGATCTTTGGTCGTATGAATCATGACAACGATGAATCAAGTATCGTATAACCTTATAACTCTGAAGAAGTGTAGCTGCCCGGCAGTCACGGTAAATTCAAATTTTCGCGCCAAGTCGTGACTCTGCGGGCTCTAAGCGACAGGGCGCACGGAGATGAGCGTCTGCATCAACCGCCAGAAAGCGCGGAACAACCTCATGCGTGTGGCATACTTCCGACAAGTCAAATCTCAAAGCGCAGGAAAGATCTCTTTTAGCGCTGCAGAACTCCCGCCTTCACTATCTAATTTGCCGTGTCGGCGTCGGAGCTCTAAGCCGGCTTTCCCCTTGCAACGCGCGTCCCACAAATCGATTGAAACGTTCCTCTTCAACATGGTCTCCCAAACGAACTTCTCGGGTGCAGGGGGAGTGCAAGCGGTGGCCGGTCTCCACGAGGACTATTTTGGCTACATGGACCGCAACTGGCGACTCTGCTGCGGCAAAATGCAGCACTCGGACGCTGACGCGCGCTCCGACGGCTCGGCTCGCACCATGGATGAGGCTACAGACCTCGAGGTGTTGGCTTACATGGCAGCCACTGACTGCAGCTATGTCGACAAGTACGACGACCACGATGAATGTTGCAGCCCTCGATCTGGCGTATCCAACGTATCGGGCTTGCCACTCGTGTGCAGTAACTGCGGCGTGTCTTTTTTCTCGCTGCAGATTCCCGACGACCAAGTGGACTGCTACTGCTCGGGCGAGTGCAAGTGGAGCGTCATCATGTACCGAGAGATGGATCTACGCATGTACGCAATGCGCCGAACCGCGCGTCGCCATACCGTGCACAGCACAACCCGCCCAACTTCGAGCTACTACTCGGACAGTGATGACGAGGAGAGGGACGACGGCAGTGTCGTGTCTTTCAGCTTCAGCGACGACTCGACCGCCAGCTCTTCATGTAGCTGAAACAGAACAATTTGAAGTCGCACGCGCAGCAGCGGAGTATTTACTATTTAAGGTGCCTCAGCACTGCGAAGAAGAGAGTAAGAGGAAGGGAGAGATGGAGAGAGCTGTGTAGTACATATGCGTGTAGTCTGTGTATAAGATTCCTACTATTTTAACTTTTTCTTATCATATTCACATTTTAACCGTCTCGGAGTCTCATCTCAATGCTGCTTCTACGTGTAGTGCATTGAAAATGTACCAATGTAACATTGCCTTCCTGTAGTCGCTGGAAGTGTCGACGTGCCTCGCTCATAAGTCAAGCAGTTAACGCGGCATGGAAAGAGCAAAACATGTACAACTGGCAGTGTGGTTGCAAATTGCGACTCGCAGTACAGCGTAACCACCGCAACACCTTGTACTCTTCCCAAACAAAAGTTACTAAAACTCTAAAAAAAAAACGGTTTGTCAAGTGTTTGTCTTTATTGCGCCTATGCAGTAAGGTTAACCGATTCCGAAAGCAGTTGCAACTTGCAACACTAGGGAGGTTAGCAACTGTCTTCGGGCGAAAAGCAACGACCACTATGCTTCAAGTGTGAGGAGATCGCGCGCCTTACTCGTCCTCGTCATCGTCGTCATCGGCCATTTCATCCTCCTTGATAGACTGGACGGCCCACTCGTTCACCTCATCACGCAGGTTGTCCGGCACCAGGTGGTGCTGCCAGTTCGTCTCCTCGCAGATCCAGCTCAACTCCAGCTCGAACGGGTGACGCACCTCATCGTGCAGCGTGTTCAGACTGCAGAAAAACACAAGCATACATCAGTTACCAGATAAAATAACAGTAGCAATCCTCTTCGTACATCTTGGCAACGTATTTCATGGCTTCGCGGCACGTCATGTCGAAGAGCTTGTACTTTTCAATCTCTGTCTTGGCTGACTGCTGACCCTTGCCCAGCGCGCAGCCACGGTAGCTCTGCAATCATAGCAATATTATTTCGAGTCAGTGACTCTACTCCATAATAGCGATACTTCTGCTTGTGAACGTACGTAAGTGACTCCAGAGGGCTCCACCATGTAGAGACTGGACTTCTTGGTGTCCTGGTCGTAGCCGGCCAGCATGATGGCCGTGCCGAAGGGTCGAATGGAGCCGTAGAGCGTGTAATAGTGCACGAACTGGCCCATGCGCTCAGCTAGGAGGTGCGGCGGGATACTGCAGCCATAGTTCTTCTTGTAGTTCAGTGCTTCTTCGCGCGCGCGATTCACGAGTTGGCGGCCATCGGCCACAAGTCCGGCCATAGAGAGGCCCACGTGGCGGTCGATGGCGTAGATCCGGCGGTGCGTGCCGGGTACCAGCATCTTGCTGAGTAGCGTCTTCTCCACGCCCATGATGATACCGTCAGTGCACTTGATACCGATCGTCGTGCTGCAATGGAGAAATCGATAAGAAAAAGGTAGACGTAACCTAGTTATAGCGATACATACCCGCTGTTCTCGACTGCCTTCTTGGCATACTCAACCTGAAAGATGCGGCCCTCGGGCGAGAACGTGCCCGCCGAGTAGTCGTAGCCAGCACCGGTGCTGCTCATTATTAGTGTCTAGATTAACCTGCAGAGGGAGAGAAGCACCGTTAGAGAGGTACTCGCCACGCGATTCGCACAGAAGGCGATCTTGATCACCTTCGCTGGAGCTGGAACGGAATATATCCTCCCTCCCCAAAATGTAAATAATGTCGCGCGAAGGTCGCGGTAAGGAAAACGCAAAGATCTTTTGTTTTCTCCCAATCAAGAAGGACGTTTACCGGTTTACAGTTACCGGTAGTTGGCCCCACGATCTCTGCCAGCTTCAGACGAATAGTTGACACCGGCAAAAAGCGCTTGCAAGACTGTAAAAAAAAGCGGTACCGTCGAGAGAAGTCTTCGAATCCGGCGAAGTCGACAAAAGTTCGACGAAGGCCTACTCCACACACCTCATCAGCTAACTTGGGAAAGTAGCGCAACCAGTCTGAAAAGAAGTGAAGACTGGTGAAGGACCGAGCGACTTGCGCTGATTCGTATCATTGTGAAAAAACTGTTGATTAAATTAAATGAAGTGGTGCTAGCAGAAGTGTGATCAGAATTGAAATTCGCCAATAATGGCCGGAGGTTGTCTCGAATGGCGCAAGTGATGAAGTCTAACTAGTGCACTGGGCACTTGTCGTTGTATCTCGAGGAAGTGCGATGATGACACTTCTCGGTGAGGGACTAGAATGGTTGGGAACGAAGTCATCGAACGAGATCAGCTAGGGATTCGATGAAGGTGACGGGAAAGTGGCATCCAGCTCAGTTTACCTTGTCACGCGAAGTATGGCTGGACGATGTTCAGTATATCGTTCAACTCCAGACGCTTGCAGGTATCGCGCGCTACGCAAAATGCCTCTGGCAGGTTGCCATCACGTATATCGCGGGCCATCCACCCGGCCCACTTCGCGAATGACAGGTCGAACACCTCAGCACGTCGGACAGTTTGACTATCACGCGCTTTCTGTGGCGGCACGTAAACAGAGAAGGCAGTTGTGCTGTCGTGGTCAATGGTCATGCAAAACACTTTTTGCTGGCCAGTGTTGGCGTTTTCATCTGTCGGGGGTGCATTAACCGATGAAGTGAGGGGTGACTCTAGCTCACCCGAGCTTTCGGGACTATCGAAGTCGTTGCTATCATCATCATAAACGACATCCATCACACTTGGTGCAAAAGGGTTGTCGATGGTTGCAATGTGAGTTGCGGCTCTGGGTGCTGGAGACTCGTCAAAGTCGTCAAAGTTGTCGTGGTTGCTGCTGGAGTCGATATCGGCGACAATGCTACCATATTGGTAGCATGACTCAGAAGTAGTGACAGACATATCCATCTCCGACCCTTGCTGTTCACTCGTGGAGTCGATGTCAATGAGGACAGTAGTCTTCTGGAGGTCGGAGTTGCTGCAATAGCAACTGGGGGAGACACCAACGCTGGTGTTGCTGGTGGAACTGACAATCTGGCTGCACGTTCTCTTGGCAACTTTGATGTTGGCTTCGAAGGCTTGGTGGAGGACTGAGATCCAGTGGCCGTACACTTCCGCGGTTGGTGCGAGAAAGCGGAGTTTCTTGCCTTTCGCGCCGTAGCGAATGGTGAACTGCAGTTTGCGACGGTCTTTAGCAGAAAGTGTGAGGAGGTCGATCGGAAACCCGTGGTGACCGATTGGGAGTTCAATGCGACCACCACAAAAGCTCGGACGCTCCACGCGGAGGACATATGTGGCATTTCGTGTACCGAAAGGCATCACGTTGACCAAGAGGATCGAGGTCTTGAACCAGAAGGGTCCAAATTTGAATTTCAAAATGTCAGAAAACACCATGGGGTCTCTGGTTTCCGACAATGAGAGGTTGGTACGGTTGAGAAAGGCTGTTTGGTCTTTCGGCAATGGGGTGAGAAGGAAAATTCTCAAGTGAGCGGTGTTTGTAAACTGCGTCTTTTCTCGAGCTGTTAACCCGGTCTACGAGTTTCACATTCGCGTCAGTTCTGTGGCCAGCGAGAGATTTGATAAAAGATACCGTAAATCCTTTACGCAAAAGGCAGTGGAACGGAGACCATTGAAAATGCTGCAAGGTGGACAGGGGTTGAGGAGGAATCAAGACTCGTTGCAGAATAATACGGTCGCTTGGTGTTTGTCACTGGCACAGCAGCACTACACCTACGACGAGTTTAACTCGAAGTAGTCTTTCGTTTGCGAGCTTGCGAGAGTTCAAGTGTGGTGCTACATTTGTCATGTGATGGGGTTTCAAATGTGGTGCTACGCTTGTTCTGGTTACTCTGGACATTGTAAAACAACGATGATGAAATGGTTGCCAAAGTACGAACGCTGTCTCGCTTTCTCCTTGTTGGCTAGCTCAAAATTCTGTCACGGGTGCCGTTTACGGCACCCTTCAAGATTCCGCTGGTAACCACGAATTCGCAACAATTCTCCACCGAGTCGGTTAGATATGACTGATCATCAAGAATGTTTTGAACTGCATAATTTCGGCACATCCTGTGAACATGACGGCATTATCATGGTCACTTTGCTGCTCATTCTTCTGAAGTTTGTGATAAAATTAATTCCCATTGAGTTTAGTTAAACAGTGTCAAGCCATTGGCCAAGTGGCCATTTCAGTTGTCGTAAGTTGAAGTCACTGGGTCCTTTTTTTGGAGCGTTTTGCATCACGTCGGCATTGCGTGACGAGTCCGCCGTGATCTGAGTCTGAGGCTCTGACAGCGTCAGCAGATACGGCGATGTTGCGCACTCTGGGGCGGCAGCGGCGCGGCTGGTGCGTGGCCACCGAGCGCCGCAGCGTCTTTTCCTCGCGGCTCGCTAGCAGTGGCGCGGGTTCTAGTAGCTACTCGGTGCGGAAACGGTGCTTTAACAAGTATTGTAGCGGTTATACCAATCTAATACCTCATAATCTTTTCAATAGCCTTTGGAGGTAGAAATCGGCGGCGTGAAGGCTCCCGTTGGGAGTCCAACATCGGTGGAATTGGTGCCACGCGGGTATGTGACGGAGCTACAGCAAAGACGACCGATGTCGCAGGTAGAAACTTGTCAAGTTTCAGTTGTAACTTACAAGATTTTTGTATTTTCTACTGACCTTATTAAAACAAATGCTGTTGATGTAGGAGTTGCTGAGCCACTTACGATGGATGCTGCAAAAAGATCTTCTGAAGCAAGACATGTTCCTGATCGGGTACTTGGCTTTGACATGGGGGAGTTTCTTCTTTCTTTTTGGCAATATTAAGTATCTTTTTATCTAATCAATGAAGCCCTCCTGGATCGTCCCGTCGACTCTTGAGTATGCAATTCTGCGAGCTGTTAAAAAAGGAGGTGGAATACGTCGCTATTTCCCAGGACACGACGGAGTCCGACTTGAAACAGGTTTGTCAAATATCGTCAAAATGATACTCGAAAAACCTGATAAGAAATCTATTTGCTGCCAGCGTCGAGAGATCGTGGATGGTGCAGCAATTTTCACCGACCAGGCCCCAGTGCGAGCTGCTATCAATGGTCGAGTACTTGTAATTGATGGTACGTAAAAGTGCTCACTTTATCAGCTACTGGCTGCTGATTATCATTATATTTCGATAGGACTGGAAAAAGCAGAGAGAAACGTTTTGCCGACGTTGAACAACCTGCTTGAAAATCGAGAAATGATGTTGGACGATGGACGATTCCTCATGAAGGCCGAAAGCTACGACGCGTTAATAGATCAAGGATACTCTATAGACGCGTTGAAGGCACAAAATTTGGTTCGAGTTCATCCAGATTTTCGAGTCATCGCGTTGGGTCTCCCCGTCCCTCCATATCCTGGCCGAACGCTGGACCCACCGCTGCGGTCCCGATTCCAGGCACGTAGTGTGAAACCAAGCTCACCGGGCTCACAACTCGAGGAATTAATTACGATTGCTCCGTCCGTACCACTCCCTATTCTTGAGAAACTTGTGGGTATTCGAGAAGCTGTCAACACGATCGAATCCACCTACGACGTCGGTACGAGCACTGGACCGCGCATGCCACACTTCGACTTCTTGTCGCTCTCGCATTGTGCGAAGGTTCTGGAGAGATTTCCAGATGCAAGTGTAGCTGGCATACTTCAGCGGTCTTTTCCAGTACGAACCAATGTTCTTGGAGCCAAGAACGATTCCAACTCGAAGGCACTTGATCGCATTGTGGAAAAGTTCACGGATCGACAGCAAAATACAAAGCCTACACTGGAAAGTGTTGTCAAAGCTTCAGTTAAGGACGTCAAGGCTACGGTGACCCTCCGTACGTCTAGTGATCGGCTTGTGCTCAACGACGTTCCGTGTGGAACCACGCGTGTTGAGATGAATGTGATGCCAGGCTTCGTGGAGACGGATATTCATTCTACAATGTTAGCTGAAATGATCCAAGATCACGCTGTCGGTAGCGATTTGTGTGTTCTCGGAGTCAAAGGTAGCGGAAAATCGGCAATGGCGAGACTATTTGCTCACCGTATGGGGTATGCTACGGAGCTTTTCAGTTTGTTTAAGGACATGACTGCACGAGATCTACTTCAACGGCGCTCGACAGACTCACGTGGTAATACGCAATGGGAAGACAGCCCACTGATTCATGCTGCACGCAATGGCCACCTCGCCGTGCTAGACGGCGTGCATCGCCTTGGAAGTGATAGTCTCGGTGTGCTTCAGAGGCTGATTCAAGATCGAGAAATTGACTTGGCGGATGGCTCTAAGCTCGTATCTCAAGCAACATACGATGTGATTATGGCAGAAACCAACGCAAGCGGAGAACTTAGTGCACTGAGCAGAGTGTCGCCCATCCACCCGTCTTTCCGCATTATTGCGATCGCTGAGGCGGACCCAGCAACGCTGAAAGGAACAGTAGCCATACCAGGCAAAGAGTCCACCGCTGCGTGGCTGAGCTCGGATAGCATTTCCATGTTCAGCTTCCATCAACTTCCGACCATTTCGGCTGCACAAAATGAAGAAATCGTGCGGCGTTTGTTCCCTGAACTCCCTCAAGTAACAACAAGGTAAGTTCTCCCCAAAACGCAACTCTTTCCTCATGATACTAATGTTTTCTGGTTTATTTTATTCGAGTAGCACGCTTCTAAACTTTTCAGAAAAATTGCAGCGTGCCAAGGAGAATAGTGCTGACTATCTCGCGCTGTCGCTGTCCACACGGCAGCTACTGCGCGTTTGCCGCCGTCTTAATGCGTTCTCCGAGCAGTCACTACAGGATTTACGGCCGTTGCTGCATGATACACTGCTCACGCAGTTCTTGTCGTCAGCGTGCAATCGGCTTGTTGATTCCTTGCTGGACGAGTGCAAAGTGCCGGTCTCTACCTTAGCAACTGACTCGCAAAAGCTGCAAACGGAAACTATTCATGAAGAAGGAGGTCTTCTACACATTGGTGACGTGTCGTATCCGATACAAACACCTAGCAACTCGGAATTGGTGCCTCAGCCCCACTATTTTGACATCCCCAACCACACTCTCTGCATGAAGGATATGCTCCAAGATGTCGTAGCTGGGCAAAAACATTTGCTGCTGATCGGAAATCAAGGAGTGGGCAAAAACAAACTAGCGGATCGCTTGTTGCAGTTATTGCAACAGGAGCGAGAGTATATTCAGCTGCACCGTGATGTATGTTGCTTACGTGGGGATCTTAAAAGTGAATTCTAACATTTATATCCTCTTCGTTTCGCAGACTACCGTGCAAACGCTGACTCTAGTACCGACACTTGTTGACGGGAAGATCGAATGGGAAGACTCGCCGCTAGTCCGGGCTGCTAAGACTGGTCGAACGCTAATTGTCGACGAGGCCGACAAAGCGCCACTCGAGGTGGTGTGCGTCCTCAAAGGACTCATCGAAGATGGCGAAATGCTATTGGTGAGAATTTATACTCTGTTTAAAAACTCCAACGAGCCACTTAATACGTGTATTCTATTGTCACAACAATGCAGGGAAATGGCAAGCGTTTGATCGACTCGACGAAGGTGGCAATTGAAGATTGGCATGACGAAGAAAACATCATTAAACTACACCCAAACTTCCGCATGTGGGTACTAGCGAATCGCCCTGGGTTCCCCTTCTTGGGAAACAACTTCTTTCGCGAAATTGGCGATATCTTTGCCAGCCAGTAAGTGATTTTACGAATCTTAGGTAACGACTTACCAACTCACTTTTTTTTTTTTCAGTGCAATTGACAATCCAGACGAAGAATCGGAGCTGGCGTTGCTGATAGCGTACGCACCAAGCGTTTCTATTGACATTTTACGTCGACTGTGTAGAGCGTTTGCGGAGCTGCGTGAGCTGGTGGAGAATGGAACCATCACGTACCCATATTCTACGCGAGAGGCTGTTGCCGTAGCGAAGCACCTAGAACAATTTCCGAACGACGGAGTTGCGTCAGTACTGGTACGTAATTTTTATCCCTTTATGATTTACTGACCGGAACTAATCATATTCGTTGCACTGACAGGAAAACGTGCTCGCATTTGATGCTTACGATCGAAACATGCGCACTCAACTGTCGGAGATCTTTTTGAGGTATATTACTCGTGTATGATGTAGTCTTTGCATGCGCGTGCTCACGTGTTGCATTCTGCTCCATTAGGAATGGCTTGCACTAGACCATGCACATTTACATGTTATGCAAATGAAAAACTAACGTTTTGTGCACAATGTTTTATTATTTTCTGTGTATTTGTACGATTCGTCAGGCACAGCATTCCCCTGTCACCCACCGGTGAAGCTCTGACACTCGAGATGAATGTCGCTGAAACGCGAGCTCTTCCCAACTTCGTTCCTACCGAATCGTGGCGCTGGATACCCGAAGAATCCGTGCAGTTCAGCGCATCTACCACGAAATCCCTGCAACAACTTCATCACTCGACGCTGAATCGACGACAGATTTGGTTGGACCCGTCAACTACTCGATCGTTCCCACTCCAGCATCACCGTTTATACGAGTTTACAGAGCAGTTGGCTTCGTTCCAGGTGCCTCTAAAAGGGAATCGGAAGCAACAAGCACACGCAATGGCTGTTTTTCCGGATAACTCGGTTCACGTGCTAACGATACGACCGATGACCGTGCACTCTTTTACCGATTTCGAGGGAAGTGAAAGGTACGTTACTACTGCTTATGAGTGTAGCAAAGAGGAAGACTCACTGCTTACGAACTGGTTGTATATGTACAGGAAGCACAGCATTTTGGAGCTTGAAAACGAGTATATGCAATGGGAGGTAAACCCGGTATTTGTGAACTTGCCTTACAAAAAAGAGGTAGCAGTGTTTATCCCATCTACAGGTATGCGTTTCTTGCTGTATATTGCTCTGCACTGGTGTCCAACAAAACATTGTTCTATTTGATTAGGCCTCACGATTTTCTTAAACCCTTTGGAAAGTTCGGACGGACGTGCTGAATGCCTCACTCTTCCCGATGGCGCTCTTGATGGCCGACTGCACGTTGACTCTACTGAAGCACATGGAAAGAAAAGAGCGAAACAGATTCCGTTCTCCAAGTGGTTTGGCGGTGGAAAAGATGGTGCGTGGCGCGCTCAAACCGACAAAGTGAAAGCTGGCTTGGTGCTTCGCTATCTCCAAGGAGGGTCGCTATTCCAAGTCCTTGATCTGAACTCGAACAAATTCTTCTCCGTCGACCTAGCCAAGGCAAGTTCTTCGCTGTCTGAACCGGTTACCGAGATCCTCAGTGTGCAGTCTACAGGTGAACGCGAGTGGCTTCTGCGTACCACGAACGAAAACGTGGTGTACAAGTTGCATCACGACGTGAACAAGAAGACTTTTGCTTTAAATGTGGCAGCAGTTAGCAGCGCGAGTTCGTCACTCCTTGACTCCCGACGCTCAGTAACCCCTGGACGTCTCCACACTCAAGATGTGCTGAACTGTGCTAACTTCATGGTACATCCACAGGCGTTTTTGCAGACCATCGATGGTGATGAGAATGACGTTAAGATCCAAAGTTCCCTCCGCGAGGATTCGGAGAACGCAGTACGGGAAGTCCAGCAAGCGTGGCAAAACGAGTCGTTCGTTGTGAATTCAGTGCAGTCAGAATCCGGTGACGTCGTTGACATGGAAGTGACATATCCAGAATCGCAGACAGTAAAAAACGTTGTCGTTGGCTCCACTTCGCAGCCGAAAACTAGTGACGACAGATTCTTTTCGTTGTCTACCGATAATTCCGCTGTACCGCCTATCGTCGAGGCTGTAAGTACACACAGTGGAAAACATACACTAACGCTTCAAGAAGACGGCGCTGTGCGGGTGTGGCAACTGGATCAAGCTTCACTTGACCGTGAGGCTGCGTTGTGGCGGCAAATGTATGGCAGCTTGAATGAACTTACGAGTGCTGGATCTCTTGAACTCAAAGTAGATGGCTCGAGAGTTGGTGGGCCGTCGACTCCCAAGACGGGCTTGGACACTCCCAAGTACGGTAAAGACGACCCGAACAATGATCCACACGTTGGTGGCAATACGTGGGCTGGTGGAACGGGAGGATCCGACACGGCTGGCTTGGGAGGGCGAGGTGGTCCCTACCGACTCGATAAGGGCCACCCAGTGCACCAAGTTTCGCAGGAAAAGAAGGACGAAGTGTCAGCTGAAGCACGAGCTAGAGCGCATGCTATGGCCCAAGAAGCTCTTGCTGAAAAACTCCGTGAGATCGACATGAGTGAGCGCGAGTGGGAAACTTATCTGTCCTACTTTAAGCGCGTGGAACGAGAGAGTGCTCAACTACGTGCTGTCCTAGCAAATTTGGAAGCTGTGGCTCATGAAAGAAACTGGTTACGACACCAATCAAGCGGAGAACTGGACGATGGCAAGCTCGTAGACGGTGTTGCTGGTGAACGTTTGGTGTTTAAACGTCGGGGTGTACGTGACTCACCGTTCCAAGCTCCAGCAGGACATCAACAAGATCAAGAGCCTAAGCGAATGTTGTTCGTGGTGGACGTGAGTGGCAGTATGTATCGGTTCAACGGCCAGGATTCCCGCCTAGAACGTATGCTGGAGACGTCTCTTATGATCATGGAGAGCTTTGCGGGCTTTGAACGGGAGCTGGACTACTGCGTTATGGGGCACAGCGGTGACTCGCCTGAAATCCCGTTCGTGGAGTTTGGGGCGCCACCTAAAGACCGCAAGGAGCGACTTCGAGTGCTGGAGAAGATGGTTGCGCATACGCAGTACTGTCGTAGTGGAGACCACACCGTTGAGGCGGTGGAGCGTGGTGTGCAACGCCTAGCAGCGCTTGAAGGAGACGATAGATTCGTATTTGTGGTGAGTGATGCCAACCTCGAACGCTATGGTATTGAGCCCAGATACCTCGGTCGCAAGTTGCTAGCAGAACCCGGTGTACAAGCCCACGCGCTTTTTATCGCGTCGTTTGCTGATGAAGCCGAGCGGATTCGTCGCGAGCTACCAGCAGGCCGAGGGCATGTTTGCCTCGACACGTCGGATCTTCCACGGATGTTCAAACAAATTTTCACGTCCGCCCTCGGTGACAACTAAGTAGCAGGGTACAGGTAGCAATCAGAGCGGTCTTTTCCGATTTTCTCGTTGGTGGCTTAGATGCATGCAATACAACAACTTCAACATGCAAGGCACTATTATACTACATGTAGTTGGGATCATTGGTATTTCCAAAGCTTGTGTATAAAACTCTTGCTTTCTTTCATTGTAAACACGTTGTAGACGTACAACAACTTCAACGTGCTCGGAGCAATCGATCTGCCGCTACAAAATATTGCAGTAGATCTCACTTCATGTTCCGAATCGTGCAAAGATCGGAAGTTCCGATCTTGAAAAACTTGCACCGCATGGTTTTCTAGCGGTTCCCTCTTTATGTGAGGTGGCCAGCAGGTTCAACTTCTATACGATCTCAGCGGTGGTTAATAGTATAGCAAAGCACAAGAAGAATAGGATAGTACTATCTCGTTCATTCACTTCTTGAAACCAATTATGCCGCCAAAAGGCTGTCGATGGCAGAGGCGATGCTCAAGGTGAGCGCACTGTGAACTCTCCTGCCAACTGCGTCCGTTTTAGAGGTGTTAAAACCCGTTGCAACTGAGCATTCAACGTCCGATCCACAACTAACATCTTGAAATTCATGATAAGTGAAATTTTCACTAGCGAGTGTTTTCTCTTCTTCTCTCTGCTCGAAGCTCTTCCGTTGCGCTGGGCAATGAATGCTGCGAGCTGTAGCTCCGATCTTCCGTGTTTGTTGCACAGGGCACCGTGCACTACCCACTTCATTCTGAAAAATGCCATCTTCCAAGAACCAAGTAACAGAGTCCTTCGTCAAGAAGACCCAGCATATCAACGCTTACCTCTCCATCGAGGTGGAACCCTGCCCAGAGCCCCCAACATCAAATTTGTCAGCCCTCGACGACAGTAACCGGTCCCGTATCATCTCGAGGCTGCACCTATTGCTACTCTTGCCACTACTGGCTGTAGTGATCATCGGAGTGGCCTCTTCTAGCACTCCATTGCGTACGGCTGAGGCTGTACGTGAACAAGAACCCGAAGACGCCCATGACTATGAAAAACGTGAAGTGGAGAACTGCGTGCCCTACGATATCCGCTCGAATATCGTGGGTTCTCAAGCTGTGGTGGAATGGTCAACTCGACGCACTTATATCCCTCAAGTGAACCTTCAAAAAGCTGGTGATGACAGCCCCGCTCTTGAGAATCCGTGGCGTTCATGCCACGACGTGGCCGACGTGGAAGTACGCTACCGTCGTCTTGGAGCAAACGATACGATGCTACTCATTGGGGATAGCAACGAGCCATTCACCAGGAAAGTGGCTACTACTAACACTTCCGACACGGCCTCGTTCAATGCCCATTCGGTTCGAATCGATCTCCTGGAAGGAGAAGAGGACATAGCGTACGAGTTTACTGTCGGCTCGGCGTTCCACGGTTGGTCGGCCGTGCACCGACTTGGTTTTAATGTCCCGTACCGAGGAGACGAAGCCGAGCGATGCCGTCCAAAGCACGTTCACACAGCATACGGCCGCACACCAGGCAGCTTGTCTGTACAGTGGATGACCAAGCAATTCTGCGCAGAGGGAGACACTCAGTTGAAGTTAGTGGAAGGATACCATGCTCACATTGAGGTCGAAGGCCCGAAGGCGACACCTGTGGCGGCCTGGGCCAACACGACACTATTCGAGGACGAAGGTGAAGCGCAGTCCAAACGCTGGATGCATGTTGTGAGACTAGAGGGACTGAAACCCGACACGAGATATACTTACGTCGTGGGCAACGCGCACTACTCGTCGTGGTCGATTCCGTATGTCACTAAGACTGCCCCTGCACTGCTGCATCCTAGAGAGAAGCCCAAGCCTACGCGGTTCCTCGTCACGGGGGATATTGGCTACCAGAACGCGGCCACGCTGCCGATGATGCAGTCCGAGGTGGCTGAAGGTTTCGTGGATGGTGTGGTGTCTATCGGAGACTACGCTTACGACCTGGACATGATGGATGGTCATGTCGGGGATATCTTCATGCAGCAGATCGAGCCTTTTGCAGCTAGTGTCCCATTCATGGTGTGCCCCGGAAACCATGAACATCACAACACCTTTAGTCACTACTCGGAACGCTTTCGACTCATGCCAAGTAATGAGAACGAAGGTGTACAGACTGTGCATATCGGCGGACGTTCGAAGGAAGCACGGCCCAAGGAGGTGCCGAACAACTGGTTCTACTCGTTTGACGTAGGGCTCGTGCATTTCGCGGTTATCTCCACGGAGATTTACTTCAAAAAGACCTTCGATGTGGACGGTGACGTGATTGCACGACAAGAAGCCTGGCTGGAACAGGACCTTGCCAAGGCCAATGCGAACCGGGAGCAGACTCCGTGGCTCGTTGTGATCGGCCACCGACCCATGTACTGCACCTCCGACAGCACCAACTGCGGGGATAAGGCGGCAATGCTGCGGGTCAGACTTGAAGACAAGTTTTTCAAACACGGTGTTGATGTGTATCTGTGCGGCCACCAGCACAACTACGAAAGAGCATTCGACGTGTACAAGTCTCAGACATGGAAACGGACGCACAACATGCGCGCCACAACGCACATCTTGACCGGAGCTTCTGGGCAGTACCTCACGACGATCATGCGTAAGGCATTTGAACGACCAGCGGAGCCCTGGGACGCCTTCCGCAATAACGTTTTTGGATACTCGCGCATGGAGGTCGTGAATGCCACGCATCTGCATTGGCAGCAGATTGAAGCCGACCCAGAAAACCCAGCGGCACGTGGACATTATGGAGAAATCATTGACGACGTGTGGCTCGTACAAGAACGGCATGGCAGCTACGAGACCAGTGCAGTGTCATAAATGTAGTATACAAGTAATGTATTATTCATTAAGTACTGTTGAAGATATCTATTCTGACGAAAATATATCCGCGTAGGCCACTTGTCAATTCTAGAATCACCTTCAGAAATCCTAAATGAAGACCGCGCTCTGCAGTAACAACCTGGAGGTTTACTTGGCACGTTTTGAGAGGACTCCTGCGCCTTTAACTTACGACCACCAAAATAGCCAATAGCCAATGGTTTAGGATACTAACCGACTGCCAAAACTAGTAATTCTCGCCAAATGGTGTTTGGATTCTGGCACAAACTCCACAAGAATGGCCGGCAAAAAGACCACGATATGTTCCTCGTTTATAGACTTCGTCGACTGATAGTGGATTATTGTGTATTCGTGGTTACCAGCGGAATCTTGAAGGGTGCCGTAAACGGCACCCGTGACAGAATTTTGAGCTAGCCAACAAGGAGAAAGCGAGACAGCGTTCGTACTTTGGCAACCATTTCATCATCGTTGTTTTACAATGTCCAGAGTAACCAGAACAAGCGTAGCACCACATTTGAAACCCCATCACATGACAAATGTAGCACCACACTTGAACTCTCGCAAGCTCGCAAACGAAAGACTACTTCGAGTTAAACTCGTCGTAGGTGTAGTGCTGCTGTGCCAGTGACAAACACCAAGCGACCGTATTATTCTGCAACGAGTCTTGATTCCTCCTCAACCCCTGTCCACCTTGCAGCATTTTCAATGGTCTCCGTTCCACTGCCTTTTGCGTAAAGGATTTACGGTATCTTTTATCAGATCTCTCGCTGGCCACAGAACTGACGCGAATGTGAAACTCGTAGACCGGGTTAACAGCTCGAGAAAAGACGCAGTTTACAAACACCGCTCACTTGAGAATTTTCCTTTTCACCCCATTGCCGAAAGATCAAACAGCCTTTCTCAACCGTACCAACCTCTCATTGTCGGAAACCAGAGACCCCATGGTGTTTTCTGACATTTTGAAATTCAAATTTGGACCCTTCTGGTTCAAGACCTCGATCCTCTTGGTCAACGTGATGCCTTTCGGTACACGAAATGCCACATATGTCCTCCGCGTGGAGCGTCCGAGCTTTTGTGGTGGTCGCATTGAACTCCCAATCGGTCACCACGGGTTTCCGATCGACCTCCTCACACTTTCTGCTAAAGACCGTCGCAAACTGCAGTTCACCATTCGCTACGGCGCGAAAGGCAAGAAACTCCGCTTTCTCGCACCAACCGCGGAAGTGTACGGCCACTGGATCTCAGTCCTCCACCAAGCCTTCGAAGCCAACATCAAAGTTGCCAAGAGAACGTGCAGCCAGATTGTCAGTTCCACCAGCAACACCAGCGTTGGTGTCTCCCCCAGTTGCTATTGCAGCAACTCCGACCTCCAGAAGACTACTGTCCTCATTGACATCGACTCCACGAGTGAACAGCAAGGGTCGGAGATGGATATGTCTGTCACTACTTCTGAGTCATGCTACCAATATGGTAGCATTGTCGCCGATATCGACTCCAGCAGCAACCACGACAACTTTGACGACTTTGACGAGTCTCCAGCACCCAGAGCCGCAACTCACATTGCAACCATCGACAACCCTTTTGCACCAAGTGTGATGGATGTCGTTTATGATGATGATAGCAACGACTTCGATAGTCCCGAAAGCTCGGGTGAGCTAGAGTCACCCCTCACTTCATCGGTTAATGCACCCCCGACAGATGAAAACGCCAACACTGGCCAGCAAAAAGTGTTTTGCATGACCATTGACCACGACAGCACAACTGCCTTCTCTGTTTACGTGCCGCCACAGAAAGCGCGTGATAGTCAAACTGTCCGACGTGCTGAGGTGTTCGACCTGTCATTCGCGAAGTGGGCCGGGTGGATGGCCCGCGATATACGTGATGGCAACCTGCCAGAGGCATTTTGCGTAGCGCGCGATACCTGCAAGCGTCTGGAGTTGAACGATATACTGAACATCGTCCAGCCATACTTCGCGTGACAAGGTAAACTGAGCTGGATGCCACTTTCCCGTCACCTTCATCGAATCCCTAGCTGATCTCGTTCGATGACTTCGTTCCCAACCATTCTAGTCCCTCACCGAGAAGTGTCATCATCGCACTTCCTCGAGATACAACGACAAGTGCCCAGTGCACTAGTTAGACTTCATCACTTGCGCCATTCGAGACAACCTCCGGCCATTATTGGCGAATTTCAATTCTGATCACACTTCTGCTAGCACCACTTCATTTAATTTAATCAACAGTTTTTTCACAATGATACGAATCAGCGCAAGTCGCTCGGTCCTTCACCAGTCTTCACTTCTTTTCAGACTGGTTGCGCTACTTTCCCAAGTTAGCTGATGAGGTGTGTGGAGTAGGCCTTCGTCGAACTTTTGTCGACTTCGCCGGATTCGAAGACTTCTCTCGACGGTACCGCTTTTTTTACAGTCTTGCAAGCGCTTTTTGCCGGGCGAGGAGGCGACATTTCCTTATCCGGTTCATCACGCATAGTGTTTTTGACCTTTGCCTTCACAACGAACTGATCCAATTCGCGCTGCAACTGGTCGCGCAACTGAGGTGTGTTGTACGTCTCAACACGCTCCCGCTGCAACTCGTTACTGAACGAGCTGAAGACCCTCCAGTATTCGTCTTCGTTTTTAAACAGCATCAACTCGTACTTGCGGGACTTGAACCTGTTACTATCATCGATTTCAAACGCAGTATCAACCAGTGCGCGCTTGAGTCGCTCTCGGATCGGAAGAAGGAGCTCGTCGCTGTTTGGCAACCCGATGATGGCAAGACTGAATACCATTTGCATGGTGTCCATCGGGAAGTCAGCATCTCGGAGCTTCTTCTTCACCTCGTCGAAGCATGTTCTGAAGTCGCCGCTTGCAAGTCCACAGACCACCAACCGGAAATTTTCCCTGTACTCCTTGTTATCCTCTTTGATGCCGACTTTTTTTTGGCTAGGTCCATCAGCTCAAAATTACCGTTCTTCGAAGACCCAGCGGTGAGAATGCCTAATGTTAAACTGAACAGGCCGTACTTGTTGAGGCAGATGGAAGCGTCCATGCGCGAGGCAGTAAAATCCCGAAAAGCGGCATTCGCCGCAGCGTACGAATCCGTGGGAGTGGCATTGCTTTTTCACGGTTGGGTGGTTGGTTGTTGCGTGTGCTCGAGGAAGCAAATTGGACAGTGGAGGTAGATACAACTTGCCACGGCAATCTTGCTGACCATCACTCTGACGGCAACTTCATGCTTTCGCCGTAAAACCTTGTATTATTGCCAGAGCTGTACTATAAAGTGCCTTCAACTTGAGTCCATAAAAGAGACTGATAATACAGTTCGTACTCGTTTAGGTACGCCAACTGCCTCTCTGCACTTTCTCCAATGGGGCGTCTTCCACACTTCTGCTCGCGGTCGTCTCACGCACTGCCTTGTACGCTGCGTCCGTGTGTGCTCTCCAGGTTCGCTGCATCCGCTTACTCCCCCGCGTCCGCTGGCCAAGACTCCCGCGAGTCAGCTACCAACCTCACTTTCGTCATAGCGTTCTGGAACAGTCCGGGCCACGCATCCTAAATACTCCATCGCGACAGGGCCAAAACGATTATGAGTGCGCCTCCCGCAGCCACTTCCGTACCGGAGCCCGCGGCCGAGCCGCCCGTGACCGCAGAAAGAGCGCAACTGTCGCTCAAGGTGCGGACGCTGGACCAAAGGACGTATCCGATCACTATCTGCGCGACCGCATCCGTACCGCAACTCAAGGAGCTCGTGGCCGCCGAGACGGGCGTGACGCTGGCTCGCCAGAGACTCATCTACCGTGGCCGCGTGCTCAAGAATGACCAGATGCTAGCCGCATACTCGCTTGAAGATGGTCACGTGCTACACCTAGTGGTGCGGGCCGTGCTGCCCCCCGACGGTGCTGGCCAGGCGCCGGCTACTGCTGTTTCCAATCCAGACCCTAATGCAGGCCAAGGTGCCCCTCCGGCCGGCGGACGGGCCCCTGCTCCGTACCACTACGTGCGTCCAGAGCGTCTACATGTGGAGCGTACATATTATCATAACGAGTTTGAGCGAATGGCCAGGTCGAGATTGCGCCAGCAGTCGCCGCCGCCGCCGCCGAGAGATAACGACGAACCGGATCCGACGATGGGGCGGCTAGGTGGTGGTGGTGGTGGTATGCCGAGTCGTGTGGTGATGGGCGCGACCATCTCGATGCCCGAGGGCGCGGATGTGAATATGCCATTTCTTAATTCGATGATCGCCAACCTTGTCAACCAGGTCGAAGGTGGCATTGAAGGCGAAGGGTCAACAGCGACGCGAGGACGACGGCGCACGACATTTTCACGCGAAGCTTTAGGCGGTGGCACTGCTGCCGAGATGGAAGAAGCAACAGCCAGAGCGCTACGTCACCACCACCGGAATCGAGACGGATCTGGCCGGCAACGCCAAGGGCGACGTTCTTCGACTTCTAGTGCTGAACGGCAGGCGGCGTTGCGTGCTCGCACGGGCGTCCGACTTGAATCAGTTCGTGCGGCGCTGGACGACGCGTCTCTTGACTTCCCTGCAGATCTGACAGCACTACCACAAGGTGATACCAACGCAGCCATGGCAGAACTTCAGCAACAAGTGGAGATGTTTTTGACCCTCATAGAACGTTTTGGACCAAGACTTCGTCTCCTGTCGGCTGCACTTGCCCAGCGCGACCGCATGGGTGTGACGTATCGTCGTGATGCTCGTGCAGCATCGCCAACTGGGCCTGTTGCACCCCCAACCGAGCCTACTGCATCCGCTGGCCCTACTGCAGCTGTGCCTGGGTCTAGTACGGCAGCAGTTGAGTCATCTTCGGACAGCACAACCAACACTGGCAACGCTGCTGCTGCTATTGCCGAACCAACGGTATCAACTCGCCCTGTGCTCCGTGCCATTGAGGCGCTGCAAACAATCGGAGAATCTACAGATCTGCTGGCACGCATGGCACGGCATGCGTTTGTTCGCCAGTCGGTACTGTTGGGTGAACCAGTTTCGAGACGTCTAAGTACGTATACTGTGGGTGGCGATAGAATTCAAGCGACACTGGATCTAGGAACAACTACCGCAGGGGGCACAACTGTAGCCGACACAGCGACAACACAAGGATCGACTCGTGCTGCAAGAGCATCAAGTGCAGGTAGGTCCCGGCGATTTAGGATCAGCGCCGCGGATCTACTGAACGGCAGAAGCTCGACAACAACAAGAGGAACGAGTGCTGCTCCAGCTGTGGCACCCGGCTCAACACCTGACGTTCCAGTGGATCTCACAGGGTCGATTGATGCCGTGGCACCGGCACCAGGAGCGGCAGCGTCTACCCAGTCAGCCCCCACGCGCAGTCGACGTATGGATGCGGCACCAAACGATGTTAATGGCCCTGCACCACCCGCCGGAGCTCACATTTCGATCTCTGGCATGGGTTTGCCACTCATGTCGTCGGTTGTGTTCCCGTTCTCCCTCGCTGCGGGGCTGGGCGGCAGTCATGCGACCACAACGTGGAATTTGGCGGACTTTGTGAGTCGACTGATGAGTGAGCTGCCAATCTCCACGCTTTACGGAGTCATGGCTGGCGACGCCACTCATCTTCACCATATCCTTGCGCACGTTGGGTTTGCATTGTTCAGCGGCGTTGATGTTCCGCGGGTGACGAGGCCGAATATCCGTACGTGGGCACAGGACCTCGTCGCTGAACTCCGTCGTTTGTTGCGCTCGCATACGTTGCCTGCTGACGTGCTGGATCACGTTACTGGCTCTGATGAACGGCGAGCGGCGCTTGGGAACGAGTTGCTGCGTGTTGTGGAGCCATTTATCCCAGACCTGGTCGACTATCTGGTTCGTGCCACGTCCGCTAGTCGCGCTGCTGCATTTGGAACAAGCAGCGCAACTTTCCTGCGCACGATGGCTCAGCAGATCGTTCGTCAACTACGGACCTACGCGAGAGGTGACTCGACGGAATCTGAAGATGACAGCGACGAGCGCTTGAAGTGTTTGCTGCGAGGACTTCTTGCGTGGCTCGGTATGAACGAGCACATCGCGATCTTTGCTGTCGATAGTCTGCTGTGCTGGACTGAAGGAGACAACTCTTCCAGCCGTCGTGGCCGTACGCGTCAACGGGAGGAGAATGGCAACGAAGCTGGTGCCGGCGACGCCCCAGCGACCAAACGACGGCGTGAATAAGGCTGAAGGAACTGTAGCCGCCATTCTTGTGGAGTGGATAGTAGGATAGGAAATATCTACATAATGCAGATCTGTCATCTTGAACACATGCAAGCTGTCTTGAAGTAAACTTAGCTTCGTATATGATGCATGAGGGGCAAACGTACTGACTCTGTTGATCTAATTCGACAGAGGGTTCATGGTCGGGAACTTGGGGTACACGCGCTTATATAGGTGGAGGCACACGGTGTCGTGCTGCTTGATGGGCTTGTTGAAAACAGCCTTCAGATCACCATGCGTACCCAGAGACTCCTTGATGTGGCCGGTGAGGCCGTGTTTGGTCACGAGCTCCACTGGCTTAAACCACCGAATGTCCTCCGGCGAGTGGAACATGTATCGAACCACAGCCTTGCGCTTCTTCACCTTCACCGGCGTGCCTGTGACGATCACACGCTTAAGCACAACGCGGTCCGGGTTCACGTTCTTTAGCGTGCCAGAAGCCACGAGCTGGCCGTCAGGCTTGAAGAGCAGCAGTGAAGCAGGTTGGAATGTCACGGGGCCGTACACGGTGGCCACACTCCAGCCACTTTGCGGGAGGAAACGCTGGAACAGATGCTGGTCGCTCTTCAAGCTCTGATCGCTGAAAACAGGCTTGCCTGAGAATCGTCGGAATCCGCAGTGGAAGGACAGCTCCTCCTTAGACTTGAGTGTCTCGCCCGCAAAGGACGAAGCGCGCTGCACTGAAAAGTTAAGCACACTCAGTCGGTTCTCGTGCTTCAGCAGTGCGCCCATGACAAGAGGACCAGCCTGGATACGTGCCTGTAGCTTAGCCACAGGTACAGCTTTAAGGTGCAGAGTCACGTAGACACCGGACGGCACGTATCCCATCTCACCGAATTCGTTCGGCAGAGCCTCGCTGGCAAGAGATGACGCGACGGACGCAGAGTCCTCCACGTCTTCCATGGCCATCGACGAAGCACGTGAACGAGTCTGCTGACTCTTGGACTTACGACGCAGCTGGTCCTTCATGGCACATTCGGCATCCTTGCCGCGCGCAAGGGCAAGACGCTGCACCATAGCAAAGTCCTCGAACTGGAACAGACGAGCATAGTCCGAAGGAAGCGACTCCTTCGGGTCCCAAGCACTCGTGCGCAGCGACTTCATGCCGCGGTATCGGGCGAAACGCACACGAGCGGGCTGGTCCACAGGAGCGTCCACCTCGTCCGGGAACGTCATGTTTTCCTCTTCATCCTTGCGCTTCTGGGCCTGATCAACATAGTCATCGTCCACCATGAACATGTCGTCATCATCATCGTCATCATCCCCAGTTTTACAGAAGTCCTGATTAACTGCGGCGTCTTCCTCGTCCTCTTCATCCTTCATTTCGTCCTCCTCGTCATCTCCATCGAGCCATGCAGCCTGGTAGCTAGAAGCACCCTTGTTGGCAGCAGTTTCCGCCTGGCGCTGCTTCTTGGCCTCGGCTTCGGCTTCAGCGATTTCCTCGTTCGTCGGCCACGTCTGCTCCGACGCGAACGGGTCGTACTCGGCCTCGAAACGAAGGTCCTCTTGAAGAGCAGGGTCGGCCGTGGCCAGCACCAATACCTCATCCTGGCCAGCAGCCGTCGGAGCAACTGGAGGCTTGGCACTCATGTCAGCATCCAACTTTCCGTGCTGCACCTGACGCGCCGCCGCACGGGTGATGCGGCTCATCTGGAACGTGCCCACGTCGGTGATGTGGATCAGCTGGTTGACCGATAAAGGCTTGCCGCGCAAGTATCCGTTCACCTGCAGCTCGCCGACCTGTTCTCCCTTCTCGTTCTGCGATTCCGTGCCGGGCACGAACGTGGCCGTCGTGGCCAGCATGTACGAGCGCGCCTCACGCCAGTGAATAACCTTGGGCGACAGCGTAATCAGCACGCGAGACAACTGGCCGGGCACATTGGACAGCGCCACCTTAGCGTTCTCGCCGAACTCCGTGGCAAAGAACTTGTTGCCTAGTTTCTTGAGCTCGGCCTGTCCCTTGGCCGTGTGCTTCTCCAGCCCCTGAATGACACCCACCGTAGTCGGCAGGCCCTGCGCACGCACGGCCGACACGATCTTGACGCCTTCCTCGCTCAGGCCGCCGTCCGCACCGTTGTGCACGGACAGCACGAACACCACAACGTCAGCCACCTTGGCCGCGTCCAGAGTCACGAGCAGATTGCAGCCGCAGTCAATGACACACAATTTCTGTTTGTGTTGGCTGAAGACGCCGACGGTGCAGTTCTTGAGACCGATAGCGTCTTGGGCCGGTTCCTCCACGCTGGACGCGCCTTCCAGAATGCTCTGCTGCACGTCGGCCAAGTTGGCCAAGTCGCTGAGGGCCACCAGGGCCACAATCTTGGGAGGGCCGAGCGCACCGCCCAGTCCAAAGCGACGTTGCAGCAGCAATTCTTCGCGCTTGTTATCGCGCAAGTGCTTCTGGCGTTGCAGACGGGCAGCTTTCTGGCCCGACAAGCTCATGCTCCCGATGCTTGAGCCGGTGCTGCGCACGCTGGATCGACGGCCTTCGACCTTGCCGCCAGAGCGTCGCGCCAGTAGCGTCTTGGAGTCATGGCGTCCAGTCTTGTGCTTCTTGTTCTTCTGCTTGAGCGGCCCGGAGCGGTGGTGGTGCGACGTCATGCTCGAGGAATGATACACTATGTCCAAGCGCTGCTGGCCAGCCGAAGCGAATGAATGGCGAGTGGTTAAATTATTGTAATTTTATTTGCAACTACTGTACAAAGCACAATTATATTTATAAATAGGTTTTGAAAATAGTAGAACTATCAGTATTGACGCATAACCATTGGAGATGCCAGACCTGACGGAGGACGAGGACACGACGTCGCGCTTCCTGGCCAAGTACGGCGTGGCCAAGCTGGCCGAGCAGTGGAGCCTGTCGCCGGAGGTGCGTGCTACGCTGGCCAAGCTAAATATTCGCTCGTTCTTCCCCGTACAGGCTGTGGCCATCCCGAAGATCCTAGCCAGTGACAGCGACCGCGTGACGGATATCTGCATCTCAGCGCCAACAGGTAGCGGTAAGACGCTCACATACGTGGTGCCCATCGTTCAGCGCTTATTGCCGCGCGTTGTATGTCGCGTGCGAGCGCTCATCGTTTTACCCAGTCGTGACCTGGCCGTGCAGGTACACCAGATCGTACAGCAGTTTGTCCAGGACACACCGCTTAAGTGTGGGCTGGCCATCGGCCAAAACAACTTTGCAGCAGAGCAAGCCGCCCTGGTGGGCGCTGTTTCAGGGGCCAGGGTGGCCTCTACGACTGATGGAGGACACAGCTTGGTGGACATTCTGGTGGCCACCCCGGGCCGTCTAGTTGACCACCTGGAACAGACGCCAGGCTTCACGCTGCAGCACCTGCAGATCATGATCGTCGATGAGGCCGACAGACTACTGAACCAGTCGTACCAGGACTGGATCCCCAAGGTATACGCAAGTGTCTTCAACGGCCAGGAGGTGGACGAGGACGGTCTGGCCGTTGGCGTCGGCGTCACCTGCCGCCGCCAAGATTCCATCAACAGACGCCGCATCCGTACGCCGCTCACACGAGTATTACTGTCTGCTACATTGACACGTAACCCGAGAAAACTGGCGGCCATTGGTATGAGCAATGCTGAGCTGACCAAGATCGGCCGCATTGACGATCCGCTGGCCGATAACGCCAAACAGGGCACTGCCGGCGATTCGGACGATGAGGATGAAGACGGCGACGAAGCTTCTGGAGCTGCGAATATGTACTCGACGCCAACGAATTTGGATGAATACTGGATCGAGTGTGACACTGGATCGAAGCCGCTGGTGCTGTTGGAGCTACTGAGCGAGTTTGCAGGATCACTGTCCATTATCTTCACGGCCAGTGTGAACTCTACGCATCGTCTGGCCCGATTGCTCCAATTGTATTCTACCGACCCTGAGCGTATTCGTGAGTTCTCCAGTAGTCTTTCGCAGAAACAAAGATCGGCCTTGGTTGCTGACTGCAAAGCTGGACGTGTGGAGACAGTCGTGTGTTCCGACGCAATGGCCCGTGGTATGGATATCGAGGACGTCGCGAACGTCGTGAACTACGACGTGCCGTCGTTCATAAAGACCTACATCCACCGTGTGGGTCGTACAGCTCGTGCTGGCCGTCATGGCCGTTGCGTGACGCTCGTGAAAATGGGTCAGATGAAGGGCATGATGCGTATGCTCAAGAAGGCCGACAATAATAAGCTGAAGCCGTACCCGCTCCAACAGGAGCACATGAAGACGCTGGTGCCTCGCTACACTGATGCTTTACAACAGCTTAAGGACACACTCGAAGCAGAGAAGGCTGGCAAGCTCCAGGCCACCTCTATTCTTCGCAAAAACAAGATCACTACAAGTGAGCGCAACAACGATGACGTTGCAGAGGAGGGGAATTTGGATGAGGAAGTTGTTACTGCAGACAAGAAGCGAGCGTTCTCGGTGCTAAACGCGCAGCTGGAGCGGAACTTGGGACACAGAAAAGTGCGCAAGGAGTGACCAACCAATCACCTAGATAGATAGAGTACCAACATGTTGCAGCTTTAATTCTATGCCGACGTCTGCACCTCAGTATCCGTCTGTGGAGGTGATTCATCCTTCTCGTCTTGTCGACGTTTCTTGCTGGGAATTGACGGTTCACCGCGCTCTGCTCGCTCCTTCTCAATCTGTATACGCTTGAGATGGTACTTGTGTCCTTTTGAACGCAAGTGCTCAGCCCATTGTTTCTTACCTGTGAATTCCCGGCCATTACAGACCGTACACGTGTTCTTCTGAAACTTATCCTCTAACGAAGCTGCTGGAGTCTCGGGATTTTGTTGCTGTACACTCTGGTACGTCGTGATCTCCTCACCTTTCAGGAACTTCTGAGCAATGCCAATAGCAGGTTGAGCCACAAGCGTCTCCCATTTCGAGACATCACTGCTATCCACTTGGTAGACCGGGATGTTCTTGGTAACAAACTTGTTACGGATCCACGAGAGCTGACGCCGAGCATACTGGCGTGTTGCAATGTTCAATTGTTCAATGCACGCGTTCAAGATGGTCTCCAGCTCCGTGGAACCCTCTTCTTGAGCGCCGTTATTCGCCTCTATCGCGTCGAAATAGGGCAGGAATTCCTTGTATCCAATAGCTTGTAGAATGCCAACCGAGTTCTGAGCGTCCTCTTCATCGTCACTGTCCGGGTGCATCCGTGGCGGGTTCTCCTTCACATGTGCACGCAGGCCACGGATCTCTTCTACCAACCCAGAGCTTAGCATCGTATCCACCCTCTTTGCCAGACGTTCACTAAGCACCGGTTTGCTAGCGTGTACCCAGAAGGCACAGGCGTCGAAATATTTCTCAATGTTCCTCTGCTCTTGTTCCTGTTGGGCCAGCAGCTCACTATGAGCCACACCGGTCTGCTCGAAAACTTGAAGACTGCGCTGAATCTTACGCACGTTGTTGACGTGCAGCCGGGCGGCCATCACTGGGTCCACAGCCTGAAGCCGTGCGTATAAGGCTTCTGATGTACGTTGTTCCTGTTGCTCCTTGAGGCCAGTGGCCGAGGCCTTGAACGGTACATCGTCCAGTAGCTGTGACTTCCAGAGGATAGATTGCGTATAATACATGGTGCCGCCTACGACGATGGGCACTTTGCCTCTGGCCAAGATGTCGTCGATGGTCTGCAGCGCCAAGCGCTTGAATTCGAGCACATCGCAGCGGGAACTCGGGTCCACCACGTCGAAGAGATGATGCGGTATGCCCTGCTTCTCCTGCTCCGTGATCTTAGCCGTGGCCACGTCCAGTCCGCGGTACATCTGCATGGCGTCTGAGTTGACAATCTCGCCACCTACGGCCTTGGCCAAGTCCACTGACAGCTTGGTCTTGCCCGCGCCCGTTGTGCCGATCACCACCAGCACCTTGCGCAGCGCTGTCATGATTACCGAATTGATTGGCGACACGAACACTGGACTAAAGTATGGTGGATTCTAAAAACAATTTTTAGAAATGTAGTTCTAGTTCTACAGTCGTGTTGATAGTTGCATGCATTGAACTCATTGTCGAATTCACACGTCAATCGACATGCCAGAAAATGCTTTGTTATTTGTTCGCCTAGCACGAAAAAGCGTTCACACTGTTCACCGCTAAAATATTCCATCAGTCAAAGGTAAATGTGTTACGGCCTGGTATCCTCCAATCTTGAACACCTTTCGATCTCCTCCATATTACGGTATCGAGCAGTGAAATTCCAATACAGTGTACATGTGCATTCACGCTGGTACTTCTGCATCCTGGTCGTCTACTGTCACGATGTCCGTTTACTAGCCTTGGAGATCAAAAACTCCGTGATACTTGCGATCTTCTTCTGCTCCGGTTCTGTCAGTAGCAGCGGTTTCTTGTTCACTGCAGCACCTTCAGCCTCCTTCGCACTTGCTATCGGCGCTTTGATACCGACCGCCACCATACTTTTTAACTTGAAAACCTTGCCGAACGTCTTGGAAGACAAGTGCAGCACGCAAATAGGCACCTGATGCAATCTGCAAAGTAGTGGCAAATAGCCGAACGCCAACGACTCGGGGTTGTTGGCAAAGATCGCCACTTTCACTTCGCGTCTGGCCACGGATCGGGCCACTTGGTTCACTCCTTGCACCGCGTGACTGCGCGTGGTCGGCACGTCGGCAACCTCCTTCTGCAGTCTATCTAGCACAATATCGCGATCCTCCTTGGCCAGCTCCACAAACTGTGGCGCTGTCCATGGCCGCACGATATCTACTGTGCTTCGGGTCTTACGCTTCTGCTTCTTGGCTCCAGGCCGCTTGAATTGCGTCGCCACAGGCACCTTCGCTTTCGCCTTTGCCATGATTACACCAAAAATGCTGGTCATAAAGCCTCAATAGAACGGCGAACAATCATTGGTCAAAATTCTTCTGTTTTAAACAATCCATTGTGGATGTTCAGTTTTCCGACCTCAGTGCGGAAAAGGGAAGAGGCTTCAGCATGGGGAGGTTTTTGGGAGCGTCACCCACAGCGAGCAGTGAGCGCGGCCGCAGATACGAGATGCTTCCAGGTGACAACGACGAAGTGGAGAGCCCGCAGCAGCCGACGGCCGGCTCTACAACGCCTTCTACGGCCGATATCACGCGTGTGACGTCACCGATCAATACGTCTGCGAGCCGACCGGCTCTTATGCGCAGTGACAGCGAATCCAGCGCGGAGGAAACACAGCACCCGACGCTACAGCGTCAGCATCAGGAGGTGGCCGAGGAAGGAGGCATTTCAAAGGAAGATAGAGAGACACCTGAGACGAAGGAAGAGGACAAGAAGGAGGGCAAGAAGGAAGACGCCGACCAACAGCCCGAAGAAGACGCAGACCCCGAGGCCATCCACGTCCGTATTCTGGACTTGAACGGCAAGTTCTTTAATATTTCGTGCCGGCTGGACTGGACCGTGGCCCAGATGAAGCAAAAGTTGCTGGAAAGTACCGAGGTGGCCGTGGCCTCCCAAAGACTTATCTATCGCGGCCGAGTACTGGAGGATGAGTCCTCACTCGATAGCTATAAGGTCGAGGATGGCCACACTATTCACCTCTTTGTAAGGGCCGCGCCCACGCCCGACCCTGAGATCTTAAATACTGAGCTCAATGCCAATGGGAGCTCCAGTTCGGCCCGAGATGATGGCATCACGGTTGTAAACATCAACAGCGACATTGTGTCCTCGGCCGTATTCCCGTCCGACTCGGCCAGACGTGTAGACCCGCTGATGCTCGACTCCGCGCTGGGTAACTGTGCACGTCGCGTGAAGCTGTGGAGTTCGTTCTTGTTGATTATCTACACAATGAAGGTTATGGGCCAGTTTGCACTGCTGGCCAATGACCAGCAGCAACGAGCAGCCCAACAAGAACAGGAAGCAGCGGGTGCCAGTGGCACGGACCGACCAATGAACAGATACGATGAATACCCGCAGTACTACACGCCGGACCCGCTGATTGGCGGCCTCGAGCTCATGGTTCACTGCTTCGGCGTGTACGTGGGCTGTGTGGGCTTTAAGGCCGCACACGACACGGACATTCGCCCCATTCGATTCTACTGCCGAGGTGTCGTGTGGCTTGCTATATTGACAGTAGCAGAACAAATTTACACAACTGTGCAGATCTCCGAATCGGATTTCCCAACGGAGAGAGTGCAGTATCCCTACGGCGGACAGGGCCCCACGAAGGACGACATCGTGTCGGCCAACATCTTCCAGACGATCATGCTCGTAGTCATGTGGATCATTGCTATTCGCCATTCGTATCTGCATCAGCGTGAGGTTTCCATCTACAACCAGTCGTTCGCAGCGGCTGCGATGAATGCGGCACCTCCTGTTCACCTACCTGAAGTGGTGTAATCAGATACAAGATCCGGTAGCTGGCCCCAAGTGAACAAGAAATATATATTTTGAAATGTGTATTGAAGTGGCATGCAAGTGGCACGGAACAAGATTGCAGTTCTGACAGCGATTTTGTTTTTGTTTGATTTGAACAGAAGACATGCGCGTTCGGATTTGAACCACTCGGTTCAGGGGTGGCAATGGCGGTTTTGTTGTTTGCGATTGGCAGGGTCAAAAATATCCTTGTGGAGTTCACGTGCAACCGCCTCAGCACGGGATTCATCCCTTGACAGATTAAGTTGTGGGGAGTTAGTGAAGAAGGTAGTCGGCAAGGTGGATTTCTGACGTAAGACTGCACCAAGATGTCGGCGGCGGATTTCGATGACATTTTCGGGGACGATCCGAAGATGGACGCGACTGCAGCACCCACCTTGACGAATGCTAATCTGGACGACGACGAATTGTTCGGAGAACCGAGTGGCAAAGTTAGTAAACCTGCTGAGACTGCAGGTGCTCAACCTGCTCACGGATCAAACTGGGAGCATATTGGAAGTCGCGAACAGGATGAATTTCTGTCGTGGCTCGATGACGGAGGGGTTTCCCCGACGGCAACGACAGCAGATACTTCAACCCCAGACACACCACCGTCGTCATCGGACTTTGTCCCTCCACCTGCACCTGTGCGTTTAGCTGCTGTTTCCGAAGCCTCATTTGCTAGCGTCTCACTCGACGATAACGACCATTTCGATGAGATGCTAGACGGCACTAGCAACGGCAAACCTGCACCGACAACTACGTCTGATGCGCCAAGCAGTTTATCTTTTGATCATAACGATGATCTCGACCGCATGCTAGACGGTGTTAATGCACAACCGAGATCCAACGAGCATACTCCAACTCCAGCAGCTACAGTTGGCAGCATTGCACTAGACGCCGACGACGATCTTGATCGAATGCTGCAGGGCACCACTTCACAAGCAAGTGTGACATCAAACTCTATCTCGTTTGACGATGACGATGACCTGGAGCAGATTGTTAAAAGCGCTGGCGCAAGTACCTTTGTTCCAGGTGCTCCTGTAGGTAATATCTCGCTTGATGATGACGACGACGACGACCTTGAGAAGATTGTCCAGAAAGCGAGCAAGCACGCCAATCCAAGTAGCTCGCGTGAGAACAGCAGCTCGTCGTTGCAGATCAAAAGTCAGGTCCAGACGCCGCACAAGGTTCAAATCGGTACGATAAACCACTCTGCATGCCCTCGGTTTAGTTTCTCACTTGTGTTGCATGTTTCCAGATGTGTTGGCAGTGCGACAGACATTCCTTGAGACAGGAGAACTCCCAGCAAGCTCTCGGCTTGCACTTTGGCAACGAGCTGTCCAGGTACAGCAGTATTGAACGATCCGTGTGTTGATATGTATCTAACGTTTTGTTATCACCGCTTTAGCCCGGAGCAGAGGATTCGGCTTCGATGTATGCGGTCCAGACAACTTCACGCTCACTTCCAAGCCAAGCCTTGCTGCGTAAGGAGGTGGAAGCCTTGTGCTCACGTATATTTTCGAGTGCAGCTCACGCGCGTATTCTTCGTGAAATGGGTGACAACATGCGTGGCACCCACTTGCTCTTCATTGACAGTGCTGAAACACTGCTCACTCACCTGTGCAGCCAACTCAATATTGACTACTTCTCGGAAATGGCCCTTACCTTCGCACCGCTGTTGATTGCGAGTGGCAGTGAACCTCTTCACCCTGAAACAGTGGAGACACTCGCAGCTACATGCCGTCGATTTCTGCCGCACATCAGCCAGAAGATTCCCCTCCGTTCATCAACTACCTGTCGACGTCCGCTACTCAAGCGAATGTTGCTCTACCATGCGCCACGACTTGCTTCTCACTTGAACGAGCACTTCCCAACGTGGAATCAAGCGCCTCCCGAGGAATGCGATGAAACCAATGACAGTGGCGCTATCCCAGACTCGTGGCTTGCATCCCTCTTCGAGGGTGAAAATATTGTAAGTGATCTTGCCAACTTCGACTTCTTGCTCAAGGTTTGGGACTGCAGTTTGGTACTGGAAGCTTTCTCTCTGAAAGAGAACGTGCCACTTACGACGGGATGTTTCATCGCACTTTATGCCATTGTGACGGCTGAAAAACCGTTGATGCGCATGCAAGGCGAGCAACTTCGCCATTGCATGGCGTCGACTCTCTTTGACACGCTGCTCCGCGGCGAGGCGACGAAAAACAAGGTCTTTATCCAAGGTATTTGTCACTTAATGGAATCCACGCCATCATGCATCTGTGCTAAACTTCGCAGTTCCGGCGTGCCACCACCAGTGGTCGATAACGATGTAAAGTCTGCAGATGCTCAAGCGCCAGGAACTTCCAGCAATTTCGGGATGAACAACCTGCTGTCGGCGTCGACACAAGGATTGAAAGATGTGTCGAACTTGATGATCGACATGCCGGTGAAGTTGATGATCGATATGCCCGTCAAGTTACTCACAATGGTCCCGCTAAATCCCATGGCAGCTTTGTCGTCTCCGACATCCAGTTCACTGACGGATTCTCCAGAAGCGCAACAGCTTTTCTATCTCCACGTGCAGGCAATGGACGTAGCTTCTGTCGCTGTAACGCTGGAGGTTAGTGAAGTCATTCCATCGGTATTTGGAGGCATTCAAGGCCACGAAACTGGATCACTTCGCTACTTCATCGTGGACTGCCGTGGCCAAGAGGATATGAGGCGTGGCCAAGTTCCTACTGCTTTCCACTTTGACCCGGATACTATCTCCGACCCTGCTGTGCTTGATCAAGTTCTCGCTATAATGGGTCCCCTAAAAAGCGCTGGAGTGCACATTTGCGTTATGGGGCAAGGACATGCGCACATTGCTGAGGAGCTGCGTCAATTCCAGCAGAAACAAGGTGTGGCATCAGCTTCACCGTTCTCCTTGAGCGAAGAATTCCTCGAGACGTACGCGAATGACCAGACACGAGTTCAATCCACGATCGAGTTCTTGCTGAAGCACGAGTTCCCACGCGTGAGTGTCCTAGATGGAGGTTACTCTGCTGCTCATGGGTATCTCTTCCGCTCTTGCAGCTTAACTGTGGACGACCTGGCAGACCACGACACTCCCAACTGCAAACTGTGCCAGCATGACCGAAGCATGGAAGCTGTTATTCCTCCTGTTGCTGGAGCCTCGAACGTGGGAATCGTTGAAGAAAAGAAGGAGTCTGTGCATAACTCTGACTCAGTTTTTGCAGCGAGTGCACGGACTGGAAGCTCAAGAACGAGTGAGGCCTCCTCAAGCATCACCATGGACGACTCTGGCTTCACGGATATCAACCTCTCTTCTCCTCCTGCCAACATCAAACACCCTCTGGCCGGTTCGTACTACTCGAGCTTTACAGGAGCCTTCAAAACCGGTGGCAAAACACTCCTGAGTCCGACGATGGACGGCACGAAATGGCTCCTTAAGAAATCTGCCGCTACCACCGCTGAGTTTGCCAACGCTGCAGCCAACATGGGAAACATGGGCAATAAGACCCGTACTGGAAGCATGAAAGATACTGCCGCAGCAAGCAAGACCCCGGGTACTCCTCCTAAAGAGGCAAAGCCAGCGATGCCGAATCTGAGCAAATGGCGTAACTCGCTGGTAGCGATGGGTTCTGAAAGTCTGGACATGCTCAAGAAAGTGGAGTCAGCAATGGAGCACGCCGTCGAGCAAGCCGCTGTCGCTACAACAGCGACCACAGCTAAGGTCAGGGTCCCGTTCCCGTCAACCTTTTCGCCTACCACAAAGGAAGCAGGAGCCGTGCCATCACCGCCAGCAAAGGCGCCAGGTGCCAGCACAAGTCCCGCTAGTACGCCTCCTGCTCCGCGAGCTTCTCTTTCAGCTGACCCTGCTCACAGTAAATTTTTCCACGAGTCCACAGACGAGATGTTCACGATCGATGACGACGATGACGAAGATCAGGAGGGACACTTTGTTCAAGACGTCGAATCAAGCGAAAGTCGATCACCTTTGACGTCAAGTTTCGCGAGAGATTCTCCTGTTGGTGCTAGTGTTGCTGGACCTATTCGCGAAGTTGTCAAGGGTCAAGTTAATGAGCTGAAGAAAGGTATGACGGTGAGTCGCACGCAAATGTTGCCATGCGTGAGTAGCCCATTCTTCGCCTGCTACAAAAAGAAGGCACCTACCGGAAATGCAGGTGCTAATTCCCATGCTAGCATGCATCCTCGCCGCGTTGTCGTGATGGAGAACCATCTCGTGGTACTGAAATCTGCTACCCGCAATGAGGACGACTTGTTCATCGTAAAATCTTGCCACCCGCTGTCGCACGTTACACGAATGACCTGCCTCAAGAAGAACGCGCTAATGGTGAGTATCTACTACAAGTGGAAGGCTGACAACGGACAGATTATGGAGAAACGCAATTCGTACGAGGTCCAGCAGCGTGATGACTTCATCAAGGCTGTTAAGACAACCATGGAAAAGATGTAGGCAACAATTGATCAGCCATAGCCAAACGTCAAACTCTCCTTCAAATAGGCATCTCAAAATACACACTCCATTCGCATGCGACGTTGCAGGTTTAATTATGCAGGACTCACCGTCTTCGATCTTCACTTTCGCTCTTGCCACCAAAGATTTTCTGCCATGTCAGACAAGAAGCGTGAATCACTAGCGTCCAAGATCGATGAGGTTGCTCGCAACCAGATCTGGCGTGAGCAGCTCAAGACCGAGTATGAGATGGAAAGTGTACTGACACCGTTCCAGCTCAACCCGAAGACACGTACGTCTTGCTTTGACTGACTCTCAACCCGTTTTCTTCGTCCTCACAGTTTTCTTGAATAACCGGTTGATAAAACAGTGAGCTCGATCACCCTCAAGCCCACGCAGACCCACCCAGCAGACTTCGGCAAAGTACAAGATGACCAGGAAACACGTGAACTGGCCGCAAAACTACGCGCAGTCACAAAGAGACCCACAGAGAAACAAGCCCTACCAATGACTGAAGCTCAGCGAGTCGGGTGGCTTCACGATATGGCGAGCAAAGGAATCCGAGCAGACATGCATCAACGAATGTTCAAGGGCCGTGGCAGGTACATCCACAAGCTCTTATCTTCCGTTATTCAATACTAGTACGATTCTTACCTGGTTATCTTGCTTCTTGAAGCTGCGATGTCACCAAATTCGCCGACACTTACTGCACTATGGCAGGCTGCAGTCCATTTGCCGACAAGTCGACTCGCTGATCCAGGACCACCGGAACAGAGAGAGGAAAATAACATGTTATAACCAACATATAAGAAAGGCTACGCCCAAAAAACATATTAAAGCTCTCCTTCCTCCGTCATCTCCACCATCGACGAGATTCCAATATCTCGACCTTGCGCTTGTCTTTCCCATCTTCAGGCACTGGAACCTCCATCGAAGAGAAGAGAACAAAGAAGGCAACCAGAGAGCTGTCTACCTACACGTCTGTTGGCGGGGGAGGTGCTGTGATTGATCCTCGTCGCTCTGTTCGATGAGGAATAGCCTCTCCTCCTGCACCAGGCGCACTAACAATACTGGACATTGACGACTGCTTCGTGATGGGTGGAAGCATGCTTATTGTCGGTGATGAAAGGGGCTCCATCCCAGCAACTTCCGCGTTTTCGTCCAGCAACGTCAATTGGTTGCGTAGCTCCTCGATATGAGATAGCACCACGCGCCTATGGCCCTTTTTCACATCCATGTCGATAAGGTCATCCTCGTCAATAGTAGCCACACCACGCAGCGTATCGAATCCATCTTTCTCAAAATTCTGTGCGTATTCTTCCATTTTGAAGAATTTGAGCCAGTTGTAAACGGTCTCGATGTCTAAAGAGGAACACAAAGTAACAAGTGATCAGACACGGACAAACGGGCTTGCACTTTTCCAACATGACATACTTCTGCTTCTTGGAGCGACGTTTTCCTCTTCATCGCCTATAGAGCGGCCATTATCGTGCTCCAGCAACGACGCTGACGTCTCGTCATTCGTTGAGTAGTCGTCATTGCCTTCCTCCCATGCTTGCAGATAATTAGCAAGAGAGCTGTGGCCGGCTTCAAATGCACAGCGCGATGGACTCTTGTTCGTCTACAAGGCAAGAGTAAACATGAGCAAAGAGACAGGTCAGGTCCTCCACTTCAACACCGCGACAACAGATCGCTAGATAAAGATGTCAAAACGCCAACCAGAGTCAACGAAAGAAACTCTGACGAGTCTTGAGCCTTTCGAATGAGCCAAAACGCGCACTCCTTGTTGCCTCCAAGCGCAGCACTGTGCAGTGCATTGCGGCCAAACTGCAGCAGTTGGAACAACAGATAAGATATTACTAAATCACGCCATAGCGCAGCAAAACTTAGTCCATTCGACGAACCTTGTCAACGTCCGTCCACACAGCGAAGTGTTCGCTCAAGAGTTTCAGAGTAGACAAATGTCCGAACTCTGCAGCCCAGTGCATGGCGTTTTTGCCGTTCTGTATACAACGACACCACAAAACGTTTACTCGATGGTCCTCACGAGATATTTTGCTTCATCTCGGTACCTTGTCGCGCATAAACCGCAAAGGGTAAGCTCCGTTGATATCGGCGATAATTCGCGCAATTTCTTCGTCGTCTCCCTCTTCCGCCGCATGCACGAATTTCTACAAAAGAATTCCACATTAGCAATCTCCTTTTAAAAAAAAATTGTATGGCAACACGTGTGATACCTGTGACGTCTCGTACCAGCTCTTCAGAAACTGCACGCACTTCTGCTTGTGTTTGTCCTTCGCGATCTGGTACGCCGTCTTGTTGTCCTACTCGTGCAGAAACTGTCAATTAGGGGCTATTTTTTTTCGCTAAAACTGCAATTGCACGCACATAGCTCGTGATGTGGATGTCGATGCCCTTCATACAAAGGTACTGGATGACCTCCTTGCGTCCCTTCGATGCCGCCCAATGCAAACAAGTGCCTCCATACTGCACACAATATAACGCATCAGCCACCATTCCAACCTTTTCCGCTGAGCTAACACACACCTCGTCGACCGCATTAATATCAATGGGACTGGGACACTCCTCCAACAAATACGCGACCACGTCCAGGTGGCCATTAATGGCGGCAGAGCAGTGTGCCAGGCGACCAAACTTATCAGGCGCGTCTAGCGGCACTCCGTTCTCCACTAGGAACTGTACAACCTCCAGGTGGCCGTAGAAGGCCGCATAGTGCAACGCTGTCTGGTCATCGTGGTCAGTGGCGCTCCAGTCCACGCTGCCATGCGAGCCCATCCATTGCACCACGTCCAGTTGGCCAGACGCCGCCGCGCCATGCAGTGCTGAGCAGCCGTGCTG